GGCGCATGTCGCGAGGAAGACTTTTCAATCAGCGCTCAAGATTACAACTCAAAGAACGCTCCCCGTGAAACGCTCGACACCATGGACAACGCGCGCTGGCCTTCGGGTCCTCAGTCTTCGAGGCTTAGGCGAACGGCTTGGTGGACCAGCGCAACGGAACTGAACACGGTTCTGATGGAGCTAGGAAGGGAACCAGCCTCGAATTCGAACGCGGTGGAGGGAGACACCCGGCATACAAGTCCATTCCAACAAGCTACCAGCTCCAAATCTCCCGCTTCCCTTCACACTTCCCATGCGACGCCAGTGACCTACTCCAAGAAAAAAACGCGCGATTGTCAGCCGAGGCGAATACCTGGCGACTCTAGACGATCGACCATTCTGGAGGCCCCTTTTTACTGCGACCTTTGCTACCCGGCCACTTGCCCTCAGTTATTTGCGACTGATAAAGGCCGAGCGACAGGCACGCCCTTCTATGTGGACATACCAGAACGCCAAAGTGCGCTGTCGTTCGGAACTTGTATGCGACAAACCGGCTGCATCGAGCAATGGACCTCGTCGTTACCATGACTGAGCTCTTGGGCGGCGCTCGCGGTGGTTTTGTCGGGATTCGTTGCGACCCAAGCGGGTATGGGCGAGGGATTGGTGGCGAAGGGCTTGACAGGCCGCTTCCACAGCGAATACGGAGCATACAGGTTGGGATCGGTCGGTGGACGCTCTGGCTTTGGAACTCAAGGCCTTGCTAAGGCACAGGTGGAGACGAGTGCCGTAGGGGAGGACACAACGGAGATATTCATTTGGACGAGCATGGCGAACGACGAAGGAAAGATGGGGGCGATCGTTCCAGGCGCCCGCGTGAGCTGACATCGACAGACACACTTGTCCAGCAGCAGTGGTATATGGACTTCAGGACCCTTAAGACTGCTGCTTCCAGTTTCCTCCGCTATTCGCAAGCATTCACTGGTTCACCCACATCTCAAACTTGGGGCTTCGTTGGTGAAGACTCTCTCGCAGAGCCTAAACCCGCCCAGAGACTGCGACGGAAAAGGAGGAAGACGACCAGAACCATGACGAAAGTGAGGACGACGAAGGCTATCGGAGTGAAGAGGACGAGCTTAGCTCTGACTCGTCTCCTCCTGTCGTCTTTGTTCGATCTCCGCACCCATCAGTTTCTCCAGGCAGTGTTATTTCCTCCCTGAGTCAGACCCTCAGGGACACCCGCCATCGGACATCGATGTTGACCTGTTACCTCCTTTCGTGCTGTGTTCCCCGGCTGGAGAACCCATTTATGGCCCGCGAGACGATCGAGGGCAGATTGTCATGGACCAGATGGATTTCAAGCTGCCATGGCATGTAGCTAGGGCATTGGTGCAGCATCGTCTCGATTCCATCTGTTCATCTAAGATGCAGGAACTTGCATCCGTGGCCGCAGTGTCGCACAGCTCTGTCTTTTACCCCGTCTTAGGGTACGAGGAAGGTAGACTTGCTGATGCTTTGTATAACTGAGAAGTACCATAGCGAGCACGAGGGTGATAATTCATGGAAAGTCAAACGAGCGTAATGGGTATAAAGACAAACAGCTTCGGTACGAGTAGCAATCGGGAAATTATCCAAAAGAAACAAATGTCCTCTCTTTCATCGCCTGCCAGTCCCGCGACCATATCCGACTTGGAGGTTATCGAGCTCTGCCTCCAACTGCTTGATGGAGCTATGCGCGAGCTCCAGGTCCTTATTGAGGCGATCACGCTCTGCAATGAGCTGACGGCGAATCAGTGAGCGTCGATGAAGACGGACGACAAAGCTAAACGCACATGCTGCTCCCACTGTCGGAAACGAGCCTCCTCCGACTTGACCTGCTCGGTGAACCGCTTGCGAAGCTGCTCTTCCTCCTCTTTGAACTTGGGGTTGTCGGTCTTCTTGACTTTGGGTTCTCCAAATTTGCGAGTCTCCATCTGTTGCTGACGGTAGTTTTCGTAGTGGGATTCCTCCGTTGTCGAGATCAGATCGAGCATGTGAGTCCGAATCAAGAGCGACCGCAGCTTCTTGAAATCACAGTGATTCTCGTTCTCCACTGCCTCGGATTAAGCTAGAGCTTGCGTGTCAACTGCAGGAAACGTACCTTCGGCCACACCCCAAAGATACTCACGACCCTTCACAACGCGACCGTCTGGAGTGGTCACGTCTTCTGTCGATCCGATGATGGAGAATGGCATAGCGTCCTGGAGCACCCGGGCGAGCTCAGCACTCTCGTCGTCAGACTCGACAGGCGGAGTGTAGATGCGGATGCCCTGAGCGGCAATAACTTCCCGAATCTGACTCAGGATGTTATCGCCGATGCGATGAAAGTGAGTGGGCAAGTACGCACGCGTTGCTTAAAGGTAAAGAGATCGTTCTGGGTCAAGGTGTCAGCTTTGGCGACGACCGGAATGAGGTTGACACGGGTCCCCAGGCGCTTCATGATCTCGATGTCGAGAGGTTTGAGGCTAAGGACGATTGAATGGTTGTCAGCGACGATAGACAGTAGTCGCCAGTAGACGTACGTGTGTCCAGTAGGACGGATGAAGTAAAGACAAGCATGGACGCGCAGGTCAGTCTTCTCATGCCGCTGCGGTTGCTGCTCTTGGCGCATGTATGCTTCATGCTGGTCGTCGATGAACTCGACTATAGGGGACCAAGAGTCGCGGTTGTTGACGTAGTCGCCAAAGCCAGGAGTGTCGATGACGGTGAGCTTGACCTTGAACTGCTTCTCCTCAAGTTCAGCCTTGATGATCTCGACCTCAGTGAGTTTGTCCAGCTGCTTGTAGTGTCGCTTGTTATAATTTTTGGCAGGCGACAACTCAGTTGAAAGAGTGTGTTGATGAGGGTGGTCTTGCCCAAGCCAGACTCGCCTGCGAAAGGTCAGACCATGCCCTCGTCAGCGCGCAGAGCGCGCAGAGCTTGACTGGCTTACCGACAACCATGATCGTGAAATGAGCCCCACGCTTCGCCACGATTTTGTGTTTCTATCAGCAATGAGCATTGAGGGTAGTGCAAGACCCCGTTTTTGAGTGGATGAACCTGGTTGGGTAGGTTGGCAATGCCAATGCCGTCGACAATGGGGGCGGGGGCAGCCATTTTGCTGGTCAAAGGAAAGGTGCGACTGGAGGTGCGAGACCAAAGGAATCGTAACAGAAAGTATGTTTATTGGGTAAACAACTGAACACTGCCACCTGCATGCTTCCGAATCGCGTTCACTTCGCTTCATTACGACTTTGCCGGCCTCACTTTTCTACTTACGTTGCTGTCCGGAACTCTGAACGATCAGATAATGCCTCCTCCGCTAATCTGGTAGGGAGTGCAAAGTTGTTTGCTGATGCAGCTTTGGAGGAGGAACAGCCTGGTCCTTCAGCAACATCTAAGCGACTCCAGGATATCCTCGCGGAGCAACCCAATTGGACCGGAGATGAACGTATAGAAGATACTGTGTGTGATGACTTGTTGCAATCTGGGACTTGGAATGAAGACGCCCTCTAGGTTCTCCGAATGCTTGTTGACAAATACAAGCCATTGCGAAGCGGAACCATCCAAACCGCTGAGCAGAAGATGAAGAAGGCGCCTTCCAAGATCCCCCAATATCATGAGGATTCGCCTCCCTTACATTCCTCAGTTGCAGACGGCGCCGCAACTTACAAGCCGTTCGTTCCGCCCGGCAGTTCGTGGGCTTCTGTTCCTCTTCTGCCACCGGGTCCACCGGACCATCGCCCCTGGCACACCGAATACAAGATCCCAGACCATGCACAAGTGTCCGTTCGCGTCGGTCGCTTCCCAATGAAGACGTCTGCCCAGCATACTGGAGCTTCAGCGATCGGCGGAGACGAGCAGACTCGGCGCGCCGAAAAGGAGCTCCATCGCAAGCTCGGCAGGTTAAACCGCGCACGAGAGTCATCACTGGACTACCGTCTGGGTTTGGGAAATACCAATAAACACCATGCACCCTCCCAGATCAATCCCGTCAGTATGAAGGGTTGGACTAACCTCGTCGAAGATAGAATAGAGGTAAGAAGGGGACATCGGCACACTTCGATCGAATTAGCCGGCTCATGTCCGTTGTCAGAAAGCTCGGCGTGCGGGCTTGTTTACGAAGGTCAAGGGCCGTGGAAAACCACTGGAGCGCATTGCGGAGGAGCATAATCCCTTCATCGCTCGTGAAGAGTACCTCATGAATAGAATCGTGAAGCGGAATGGTGCAGCGCCGCCATGGGTCCAGTTGCAAGGTGGTGCGTCCCTCAGTTGTGAACGAGTTGCAGCGAGTTGAGAATCCGAAGAATTGGACGCCTCGCTGAGCACCTTCCGGCATCTATTGTTAGATGGCTGGACTCGTCACGCCATCAGAGCATTGACGATCTCTGCCCCGCTTCCCGAACTTGAAGCCATCCGCAGGTTCAGGGATCCGCGATGGTCTGCGAAAGAAAGCACATTCCACACTGCGGCACTGGCTGAAGTCAATGACAAAGTGCGGCGGTACAATGCCCTTGCTCCCTACGCAGTTCGCAGAACGCTTCACGTCTTGGATGCGGAGTTGGCATCTGTGTACATCAAGGGAGAGGTTGAAATTCCACGCATGCTTGAGGAACGCGCTAGGGCGAGGCCTCTTACAAAACAAGCCGTGGATGTTCCGAGTCTTAGTCTCCAGTTCCAAATGAACTGGATGAAAAGACTCCGTCAGTTTCTTATGACGTTGCTGCAGCGCCTAGAACACACCGTTCGACGGTCGTGACGCTCTGCTGTGTACTTATAGTCGTCTACTGCTTTGTAACCACTGGCGTGTACACTAAATCTAACCTGGCCACTGCTCCATATATCTCTCAAATTCCTGTTCGGTTGGCAGTTGATTGTAGAACCATTTGTCCATCTTCCTGCGCTGTCTCATTGAAGGATACCGGGGCTTTCCTGGCCCGTTCAACAGACAGAGCAATGCAGCAGCAAAAGAGGGCGACTCTGGCGTCTGTAGAACATCAAACGAGTGCCAAAAGGGACACAACACACAACACACATACATGTGAATTCCATACCCAGTTTCCATCTGCTGTCGGATTCGCTAGAAAAGAACCAGGGACCGGTGCTGAAATCGTGGAGAACTGGGGCAGAAGCTCTAGACGAGAGCGGATCTCCATGACACGGATTCCGACTTCATGAGGGATGTAGGGATTCCCGGTCAACTCCAATGACACGATCAATTGACCTGGGACATTCAGTGCCGATTTGTTAGTTAGCTGTCCGGCACACACCGTATCGCGCGATCGCTGGATACAGTTCGCACGCGATCAGAGAATGCGGGCCCGGAACGAGAATCGTGGTAGTCTGACTGAGATCAAGTGGCCAAGTTTGACCCAAACCATGCAAAATAGGTCTTCGTGGGTAAACCCGCTCTCCGAAAGTGGCATAGCATGACACCAGGTCAGGCAACGAGACAAGATTATCTCTCAAAAGACTCTGAAGGACAGCTCTCCCGTTTCGGGTCAAAAGACGGGGAAGGGGGACGGTCCAAGGCATTCCAAAACGATCCGCAATATCCGATCCTTTGGCAAACATGCTCGGAGAGGAACAAGATCGAAAACGCAGACCCCCCGACAACGGACGCTCGGGAACCGGAACGTAGTAGTAGAAAAATCCTCGAGTAGCGGTGTCCCGCCGAATAAAGGGCGTGTCAGCAGAACGGAAGGAGACCTGGAAAAACGGTTCTTCCCGACTATGCGTCGGGTTGTGGCCAAAGATATCGAGCATGAGAGCGTTCCGTCTTTGGATGCTGATATAATCCGACGCGCTTATACGTCGAGGATCGAAAGTGGACACTCTCGCAATGACCTCTCTGCCGGTTCGGGGCCAGTTGCTGGCAATTTGTGAGAAAGCCGGTATATGGTACAACGGCAGGAGACTCCACCCAAGTATTCCACCATCTCGCCTTGCAGTGATACCACGAAAGGTGTGTATGGGGTTCGGTTTTACGTGGCGAACGGGAAGGGTCATTGATTATGAGCGGACATCACAGTTTGAGCGTAACCTATGCTGGTGATCACTTGGTCGGAGACCACACTGCCACAAGAAGAAGTGTCATTGGCGATGACATGATCCGTCAGTCAACGGGATGATGAGAATAGAGCTCAAAACGGCATGAATGACTTTCGCAACCATTACAAGCCGGGCTTGTTCCGTGGTGGGTTCCCTGGGTTGAGCCTCAGTCCATATTACACTATTCAGGCATCCTCGTTGCTTTCATCCTGAAGATGACGCCCCGGTCAAGAGCAAAGAGCGCTCGCAGAAGCGTAAAACACCATTCAGAAAGATTCGGGCATAGTTTATGAGTGCTCAACTACTCAGATTGCGAGGTGAAACAGATCTGCTCAGGTCCCGAGCCAAAGCCGAAGCTCTTCTTACATGCTCACTCTCTGTCTGGATCATTACGTGCATCGAGAACTCCTGACACAACGTACAAAGAGTAAGAGTGCGGCAGGAAGATAGATTCAAAGTTCTACAACTCCACCCTGCTCCGTTATAAGCCCTCTAGACCCCAAACTCGTTGCCATCTCCTTCCCCCCATATTGACAAACTCTCGAGACCCCCCGACGTCAATGCAATTCAAAAGTTCCATCTTCATCATCCTCGCCAGCTTTGTCGCGGCGAGCCAGCAAGCCTCTTGCCACATGGGCTCCCCGGCACAACCGAGCCTCGACCAGCAATCTATGCACAGCTGTTTGACCGGTTACCGCACTGGTTTGTGCTCTTCTCTATCCTTTCGGAACTGGTATGGAAATCAAACGGCGGGCTGATCAGACACTGAAACAGATAATTGGGACGGCATGGACTGTGGTGGACGCACCTGGTATAAGGGTGAGATGAACGGCTGGAAGACCCCACAGACATGCTACGACGCCTGCGCGACGTGTATTTCGGAGGCTATCGACAATAATGTCGACGAAGTGCAGTGTGACCAGTGGGTGGGGATCATAGAGTGCTGGATTGGCTTTAACTGAGGTGAGATCGGGGCTTGGTTTCATCTGTTGTCCGAAAATATATTCATTGACTTGCATCTTTAGCCGTCCTAGTCTACCTTTGTTAGATGGAAACCTATCCTTAACCTCGAACTAGCTTTTTATGTCCTCTTCGACCCAATCCAATGGTTCCAACACAAAACCGAAACGGACTTGATTGGATGCATCTGTTTGATAGAGCTGCAAAGGAGGTCAAAAGCCATGCTCGGAACATTGAGAGAGAGAGAGTATAGCATACATAGTACTCAACGCCAGCCATGTGCATCAGAGTGGCGATCCAGAGACACATCCCTGCCAAATTGTAGGTGAGCAAATCCGGGACGACGGGAAGATGCCCACCAAGGGTAGCCCGAACTGATGAGGCGAGGTAAAGAGGCCCACGTTTCGTCGAAGCATGGACAGCGACCCACAAGGCGCTTGCATTTGCCCCAGGTGCTACACACTGCGGAAAGGAATTCTGCACATCGGGCGATTCGAGGAGATTGATGATCTCGTCACATCTCCAGATCTTGAAGATGCTTAGCAGGGACGAGGAGGCCGGTGCAAGAATATGCCCACAGAGTAATATGTGCCGATCATTGTCACGATCTCGCGCGCAGCAAGAACGATGAGACGGGCTGTGACAATTGTTGAAAAATAAACGACCATTCCTGGGCAACAAATGAGAGCCAAAGCTTGACGATCTAGGATGACTTACGAAGCATCCAACGACGATGCAGTCGAGTGTCGCGTTTGACATAGTACGCGCCCAGAAGACCGGAGTACACAACCATAATGGCCAGGATGTAATATGCCGATTGGACATTCAGTTCACCGCCAATGGAACGTCGTGCAACGATCGCGCCGCATATATTCCCGACAACTAAGCAAAAGAGGACACCGTAGCCTTTGGGCATCCCATGAGCTGGGTCACAGACACGTAATGTCAAAAACTTGCCATTCAGTCGATGAAGAAGTACATTTTTCTGGAGATTCATCAATGAAATGGATATGCCCGAGCAGAAGAACTAACCCGGCGAATGGCTGGGAAGAATTGGAAAACAGAAAAGATACCGCCGACTATAGTCAGAACGGATTCAGCCTCCGCAGTGGAGATATCGAAGTGAGTCGCAGCGTACTTGTTGTCAGATAGATGTGAATGAAGATGTTCACTTTGTATATCGGCGCGCTTAGCCAGAACCATTCACCTTGAACCGACTTCAGCTTCATCAATTGGAGCTTCACGTGGCTCACTTACCCGGAACGAGAAGACTCGGTGTGCGCGAAACATTCATGGTGAAGCTCCGGGCAAGACAGAAGCCGATCAGCGCTCCGCCCCAGATAACACCTGGTACATTCAGGCGTCGCGCATTCAATGGACGACGGTGCCACGACCCACCATTCACCAGACTGTAGCTCTGCCTGAATCCTAACAGCCAGCTCAGAGAGCGATATCCGTTCAAAAGGGTGTCCCGCGGCGGAGAGCTTGGCTCAAGAGGCCGCCGTCCTAATTCCGCACGCGATCGGCTGTCCAGGGCTTCCGAAGTCTCAGCATCGCCTCCCAGCGCATATGGGCTGATGAAGCTAGTCTCCGTCTCCGGGCCGTACAATACGCTTTTGGTGGTCCCAGTTCGAGCTTGCGATGCTGGCCGGGACTTGGAAGCTGCAGACATTCCGACGGCAAGTGCGCGGGAGGAAAAGGAGAAGAGAAGCGGCTGACATACCACAACAGTTGCTTGATATAAGACCGTGGATAGCAAAGATTAGACGAAACCATCCGGACTACGATGCCAGGCACAAGTTTGGCGCCGACTTCTGTGTCGTTTCCTCATAAGGAGTTGTGGCGGCGTGGCTGTGTGAAGATCTGTTGGGCTCCCGCAGACTTGCTCCGATCCCGTCGACTTCACCCAATGGAATCTCGTCTACGATTGGCGTTCATTTGAACATAGTACGGCTGATCCAGCACATGCATCTCCACATCTTCACACGCTCTCAATCTTCACCCGTGTCCAGCCTATGAGCACCGCGGGACTCCATCTTCGCATCTTATAACAGGCGTTCTTGCGTCAGTTGACCATGGACTTGGATACATTCACCGAAGATGGGTGCAGACGGCTAGCCAAAGCCCGAAGCCTAGCCCGTCTCCTATCTCGCGGGGATAGAGTCGCCCATATCGGGTTCGCCTTGCCGCATTTGCGATTGCGGGGGTACTTTGATCGACAGTGTTGTTATGATCTTGTATTGCAGCTGATAACTTCTCCAAGTTCTCTTCCGTCTTCTCCCTCCTCATTCTACCAGTCAGATCCATGTCGAGCGCCCCATGGATTATCGAATCTGATGACTTGGAGTTCCCAGATGGAGATGCCTGTAAGGCAGGAAGGATTGCGCGCGGGTTATGGAGGGGCAATATGGTGGCAGTTAAGGTCCTGACGAAGCAAGCCGAGGGATCCGTGCGTCACTCTGAGGACTTCCTATTCGCATGCACCCTGAACTGCACGATATGGGCAGGCATTGACCGAGCGCGGTTCTCTATGGAGCAGCCTTCAGCACGGGAACATACTGCAGACCCTCGGGGTTTCTCCCGCGGATGCCGATCCTCTCTTCGTCGTTACTCCGTACCACTCATCCGGCAACGTCATGCAACATCTCGAACGAAACCCTGGGGCTGACCGCATGCAACTTGTGACTGGTTTTCCAGAATTCACGACGCGATCAGCTAATTTCCTGTCAGGTCTTGGATGCAGCTCTTGGCATGCAATATCTGCATACAGTGGGTCGACTCCGGCTACTACTCAGCGGTATCTGAATCTGTTTTCCGGCAGTGCGGAGTCGTCCATGGCAGTCTCAAGCCATCCAACATTCTAGTTAAGCAATCTGGGCGAGCCTGCATTGCCGACTACGGAATGGTCGAAGTGCAGTCAAGCGCAAGCCACGGTCATCGATACTTTAGCCCTGAAGCATGGAAAGGAGTCAGTGAAACCGCTGTTTACGTGGCCCGCTCAGCGCTTACTGGCGAGATGATAGACGTTATCTCGTCCTTCCGACGTATATGCCTGGGCCATGAGCGCCTTGGAGGTTGGCGCATTTCTCATCTGCTCGGCTTGCGCTAACATAAGGCGCAGATACTCACCTCCAAAGCGCCTTGGGGAATCCTTACTGAGAAACAAATTTTCCGACTAGTAGTCCAGCAGAACATGACACCTGATCGACCCGACGAGGATCTCGATTTGACTGATAATGTTTGGGAACTGCTGGAGGATTGCTGGCGAGCTTCTCGACTTCGGCCGACTTTCGATGCCCTCGTTCAACGCTTGCACGCAGGTCAGTCCCGTCTTCTGCGGTCAGTATCTCTGATTTGAATGCGATTCCAGGCAGCGAGCAAGAGATTACTATTCCGCCCTCCTTCGACAACGCCAATGGCTTGGCTCCCCCGAAAGCCAATCGTACACGATACACCGTGTCGATGATGAGTGGTCCTCCGGCTTATGACGCGCCATCGAGCACAGCAGTCCACCCCGGATCGGCACCGCCGACCGTCACGCACTTCCAACCGCCTCCCAAGAAGAATCTCGTCCCGCAGAGGCTCACACCCATGAACCGAGGTAGTACCAGCGATCTGAACAGCAGTTTTGACTCGGAGGAAGGGGGAACGAGCGCAGGCACTTCTCCGCCCAGGACCCCACGTAGCGAATTAGGGCTGATGCCTTCTCCGTCTGTAAGGACGTCTTCGTCTGGTGAGTCGATGCCAATAAAGTATGACGATTCCTGACCAACTCCCAAGTCGGATCATCCAGTTCCCGTCATTTTCCCGCGAACAGAATGACGAATATAACACCAATTGGGGAAGACCCAGGAGAATCCGCGGGCTTTCGGAAGCATTCTTATGTCGAGTCAACATTCTCGTCTGGTCCGCGACACCGAGAGAATCTGAGTCCCTTTCCATCGGGATCTGTATATGCAGAATCTGTGCAGAGTGGTCAGAGCAGTGGAACTGGTACTGTCTGTTGATCCACTATCTCCCGCTGTCTGCTCATGCCTCTCAGCTCCCAACGCGAATCTGATCGCGGGGGCTCTGTCCACAGAAGTCAAGGAAGGTCGGAAACGAGATGTGGTCGACGGTTACCTGGGAAAGATGATTGCGTTGAGCTTGGGTTCGTCCAAAGACGCGCACAAGTTGGTCACGGCTGGAGTTATCCCGACTTTGATCGTGCTGCTCAAGACACGGGCTGCGGATGGAATTGGCCTGGAGTTGGTTCTTCTGGCTCTCGGATTTCTCATGTACGTGCTCGCTGCCAAATTTTGGCACTCGCTGACAGAAAGTGTCAGTCACGATCCCATCACGGCAAATGCGGTTCATCGCACGGACACGTCCAAGACGCTGATCGATATCCTCAACGCGGCACAACTGGATGACATTGGCGCGCTTACCATCTGGTGCCTGATCCGAGTTGCTCGCACGCCCGAGGTGGTGGCTTCGTTGCTCAAACACAACTTGGGGAGCTCGCTCGTGAGAAAGGGCCTGCGAGGCGGCCAGCGGACTTCGCGGATGGCGGGGTGGTGTCTCGGCGCCATTGTCCGATCGGACGCCATCGCCGACACGTTATGTGAGATGGGCATCGTCTCGGCAGTGTGCGAGCACATGCGACGTTGCAGAAGCTCTGTCAACGCTGACGCTGCCGACCACAGCGCTATTCTATATGCGGTCGCACGGCTTTCGCGGTCCATCAAGATAGCCAAGCAGCTCTCCAAAGGGGGATGCGTCGACGCCCTGGCGTATTTCCTCGAGACTGCAGAAGATCCGCAGGTGCTGCAATGGAGTGTTCGCGCTGTGGGATGTCTCATGCGTCCCAATAGTGGGGACATGGCCAAGACCCTGCTGGACGCCGGCATCGCGAGTGGATTGGCGCGGCTTCCCAGCATCCTCCCGGCCGACCAGATCGAGCCTCTCGGTGCCTTCGCGTTTGCCGTCCAACGCTTCTCTTGTGCGGAGTGGGGCGGAGGAACGAGAAAAGCACTGGTCGAGGCTGGCGCTGTTGACGCTCTCCTCGCGGCTCTCCGCACCGCTGCCGAAGAGCCGTTCCCGCAGGTCCACATCGAGTTGGCCCATGCAATAGCGCTTTTGGCGGATGTCGGGGGCTCGGCCATACGCAAGGAGATCGTGAGCGCGGGTGGAGTGGGTATTCTCAAGCAGATTGCGAGCGACACTACGACGCGTGCTGACGTCGCCAAAGCCTGCAACTTGGCTGCAACCAGTGTCATGGGCAATCTCTGGTCGCGGAACGCCGGTGAGTTGCTCTGCTAGACACGATCTCGCCACCGCTCATTGAAGCTCCCAGCTTCCGCGAAAGCTGCTTTGGTGCATGAATGGTCCGGTGGATGTCCGGATCACATTCCCGAATGCCCGATTCCGATGAACGAGATCGAGGCTTGGTAGATCGTTGTATTCTTACTGACTTATACACTATGTAAACTGTAAATCCCTGTCTATTCTAAATATGGCTCGGCTCAGAACCCCATCGCCAGAACCAGCCGCTCATCTGATCTGGATCAGGTAGCCTCTTAGCGAAAGGTCGTGCCACGTTTGAGTTTCGACGGTGTGCACTGCGAAACTCACACCAGTTGGCCGCACCCCTACACACTGGCCACATGCCCCGCGCGGATCTCTTCCTTGGCGCACTCTACCTTGCGTCCTTCGGCCTGCTCCTCGTCCGACTCATGGACGCGACCATCACTGCCGAAATGCTGCGCATGCTGCCCGTCACGGTGGGCACCCGCGTGATGCATGCAATTCCCCAGCGCTTCGTGGTCCTCGCGGGCTAACTGGGTGGATGGATGCGACGATGTGTCTCTACTCTGTGAGTTCCGGAGATTTCTATCCTCGCGCAGAAACTGACAAAACGTTTCAAATCCTTCAGAACGAATTCCCTCTGCACGACTGACGGGCTGCCTCGGCATTAGGCTGGGGCCGATGAGACGGATTTTATATCATCAAACTCGGTTGTCCCGTGCAGAGCATGTCTAATGAAAATGCCTACGAACGAAAGAATGCCAGCTCAGATCCTGTTTCTGCCAAAAGAGGAAATAGCATTGCCTAAACAGGGTCACTACGTAGTAAATTGGGTAATCTTGCAGTGGATCCTCGATCCAATCAGCACTGTTTGCGGTTGAACGTATACGTGGTCAGACTGGTCGCTTTCAGCGGGAGGGAGTAGGCGCCCGAGTGGTTGGTTGCGGCGGCGACAGACACAAAGTCCTCCGTCGCGCTCGTGCGCACTGCTGCCAGCGGGCAGACGGTGTCAGGGAACGTCAGCGTCAGCGTCGTGTCGGTCGTGTTGGGGTTCATCAGCAGGACGGAGTACGTCGTGGGTGTGGCCACTGCCATCATCCACTGCTGCACGTCGCTTCCGGTCAGCGCATGCCGGATGGAGCCGGCTAGGCAGGTTGGGTGAGACGCCGGTAGGATAAAAGAGTAGTTCACATACGTTTGACGAAGTTGCCAAAGTGTTTGTAGGTCCAGTAGTGCTTGGAGATATCTGCGAGACAGGTCACTCTTCGAGATTTGGCTTCGCCCAAGTCTGGAACTAACATAATTGGTGGTTCCCGTTCGTTGCATAGTCTGGATCGTAGTAGATCAGGCCATCCTTGAGAAGCAGATCAGGATGAGGAGGTGGACAGCTAGCTCTCGACTTACAGTCCAACCATTCGAGTTCGGAGTGGTGGCACAGCTGGGGTTAGTCAGCGGCTGGCATCCGATTTCTAAGATCCGTTCAGAATCAACCGCTGTGCCGGAAGGAGCAACAAACCGTTGGAAACGAGAGTCCAGAACTAAAACGTTGATCAGACGGATCTTTGAGGAGAACTTGTCACAGCTTACATCGTAATGCGGCTCACTGGCGGTGACAAGACTCTGGAACACCATGCCAGAGAACATCAAGGCATTTGTGATTGTAGGGTCGTAGCCGCCGCTGTATCCTTTGCCACCTCCAGAAGCTGTTCCAAGAGAACAGCAGATCTCCTGAGCAGGGGTGTTCGCTACTAGTCCGACAGAGTGAAACTGCAGACACTTACCGACATCCATGTCTTCTTTCCGGGAGCTAGGGTGTTGACGTCGTTCACTAGCGCCGTGTACGACGCGTCACTTGGGAAATCGTATGTGTGATGGACGAGAGCAGCGACCTGAGCGAGTGAGCATGGGCATCATAGTACGACATAAAAACACACTTTGTCCGCAACGAAGGGCAGCCAAGTCGGGTACTCGTTCATCGCGTTGGATAGAGACGAAGACTCGTCGGCAAGAATGCCAACTTGGTTCTGCAGTCCGGTAGCCTGCAACGCGGCATAGACTCCATTGACAACCTCCGCCCGCCTGTCGGTTGAGCGTTCGTTCATTCCGGGGAAAGCAGAAAGCGAAGCATGCGCACTGGTTTGCATCGACTTCCATTCCCTCCTGTCCACACGAGCCAGGCGTGCCGAACGAGTCGTCGGGCTCGTTCATCGGGGAGACATATTGGACCGGCACTCCCAGGCCATGCCAATGCGAGATGACATCCGCGAGATATTTGCCATACGCTGCACCCGTTCCTGCGTGATTGCTCGTGTGAGAGAGCATGCACAATTAGAGGCCATCTGTGGTTCGCACCATTGATGAATCTGCCACCACAGCTGGCGCCGTTGCTCGTAAACGGAGGCGGGCCACTGTTGACAAAGAAGGTGATCGGCACCTTGAAGCTCGCCGCAGCCTGCATGAAGAAGACCCCTTGCGGATCATGGCTGTAGTTGTACACCCCCGGGCTGACATAGAACGTGTCCGGGGCGCGCACGGGATTGATTACACCCACCCCTCCGCCGCCGACGTTGTACCGGTAGGATGTCAGGCCGAGGCCGGTCGTCGGCGAGAAGAGCAGGTTCGATAGGTTCGTGCGGACGGCAGCAGGAAATTGGTACAGGTCGTGGGGCCACCAAGCGCCGGAGCCACCGATTCCGATAAAGGTCTGGGAGGCAGTCGAGGACACCGCGGCACCCTCCGCCACCTTCGGTGCAAGGAGAAGTGAGAGCAAGACAAGAGATTGTGATAACATGGCTGTCGGCAACGACGGACAATGGGCAACTTATATTCAGCCCAATTGACCCCGCCGGACCCGAAAATCAGCAGATGACGCTGGAGAGAGCATGTGTTGCCAGTGAGGATCATGGTAGCACAAGAATTTAGAATCCAGGAAGCTAGGTCACAGGTGCAGCCTCAATGCCTGATGTGAGAAGCAGACATGGACGCATCGTCGCTACGGATTGAAAATGAATTTGGACGCAGGTTTTTATAGGTTTTAAGCGAGGAATTCATGAGAAGAGACGTAGCATGAAGAGCGTCGAGGTCTGCAAGACTTTCATACTTATCTTTCCCGCGGTCACGAACACTGTGTATAGCGTCAGGTGATCGTGAATCCGGGCCGGGTCGGCCGACGACGATTGATCCTTTACACTTCTGATCTCATCCGCACAAATTAGATGAACCACTGCTCTGGGGCAACAACACTAACTTCCATCCCGGCCTCTATCATTCTAGTGATGCGTAGCATTGAATCAGGCTCCCTCCCATCAGCGAGGGGCGACACCAGTTGAAAGCAGTCCAATTTCACCGTCGTGTTCTCCCTGCGCGATTCCAGCAAGTCTGCTATGACCTTGGCCATGACAGGCTCGGTAATCGTGCGTTCAGCGAACAGGGATTTTAGCGAGGGAAGGACCAGCGGATTGTCAAGCAAGAACTGGAAGAGTACATCGAGACTGGATCCGCCCTTTCTGACTTCGAGGTGCTCCAGGAGATCCAGCGACCCGAAGAGCTCCATGCATTCCACATACGACCAGTATTCGCCAAGCCGCACAGAGAATGAGCGGAGAGAGCATCTCGAGCGGTGGACAAACGATGCGACGAGGGGCAACTGTGCCCGATGGATAACATCCAGCTCCAATCGCTCTAAGAGAGGCGCGGTTAGCTGAGCGAGCAGTGCCGGGCCACGATCGTGGCTGAGGATCAGACGCAGCGACTTAAGTGAGGACGCGTGGGGGGCTGATTGGGGAGTGCCCGCCTCGCCCCAGATGATGCAGGTCATGGACTCGAGATTTGGGAACGCCACGAGCATGTCGAGTGCATGCCGCACAGTCGTGTGCTCCATTCGCAGTGTCGTGATCTGCTCAGCCGGCAGGCCCAGGCTGGAGGCTTCGACGACCCCGCTGACGAGATGCAGATCGCGCAGCTGCGGCGTGTTGGCGAAGACGCACAACTTGACGTCGGATGATATCCCGTAGAACCCTTCCGAGTGCAGAGTGAGTTTCCGCAGCGAGGCGAGCGGTCGCTGGGGCGCTTCAAAGTTAGATAAGAGGAATAAGGGCGTCTGTAAGTCAATCGAGGTCCAGTGCGGCGCGTAGTCCGATATCAGTGTCGCGAGCGGATGGGAGTTACTGTGGGCGTGCACGTGTCCCTTGCTTCCGCGGTATACCAGGCTCAGCGAGAGCGGCATCTGCCCCGCACGCGGGAGCCAGAACTCGAGGAGCGGGCGGCAGCTCAGTATGTTGTGGGGCTTTAGTTCGAGATAGATTGTGTTCCATAGTTCGTGTGTCTCGAGCGCCAGTTGGCGCCATTGTCGGCATATCGCGATAAGAAGCAACGGAGCTTCCGTTCGCCATGGCAGAGCGTCTTGGACTTGGGGGAGGCAAAAGACAAAGATCTGGGAGATCACATCGAACGGAAGTTCCAAGATGGGACTGCGCGTTTCAAAGGGCATGGTGATGGCGGTCCACAGCAACTGACGGCAGTGTGACAGGCAGTAATTATGATATCCATGAATGCTAGAACGAATAATATGATAAATGAGCGCATGCTACTGTACAGAAATGCACATGTCTAGTAAAATATGTACCGTCCAGATATTAAAAAAAACAATCCCACCCATATCAATCATACAACAACCACTACCTGCTGCCCTCCTCCAGCTCCGCTTCAGCCATCAGATCACCCCAGGGGGAGGTTTCCATTGCCTGGAGGATGGCCTGAGGGTCCTCCCCTGGCGACATGGAGACCGAACTTTCTCTTGATCTGCTGTTTCCGCCGTAGTAATACCCAAGATCTCCGCTCAGCATGCTGATGTCGCTCGTCCGTCGGCCGCTGCGCTGCAGCTTGGACCCCGACGTAAGCGACACATCGGGCGAGCCGAAAAACGCCTTGGGCTGTGGCGTGGGCGAACCCGGTGTCGAGTAGATGGCGGATGAGATGTCTCTTGACGAGGGAGGTGGTGTCGCGGGCATTACATCTACCACGATCGACGGAGTCTCGGACATGTACTTCTGCTGCTTGTACTTGAGGAACCGCCGCCGGTGCGAGATAGTTTTGAGTAAAGACCTGACGCGGTCAAGGTTGACCAAGTCGGTGACCAGCTTGTTCGTTTCGGTGCGGACGACGAGATCTTTCAGCCTGTTCAGGATGAGTAGATTGCCAGAAGACTTTTGCATAACGCGCTTACACCAAGGCATCTCGATCCACAATGAGCTTGTGATGTGCCAGCAAAAAGAGCATGTCGGTGAAAGACATCCCTCGCCCCTGCTGGTGAGAGATACTGGCTTCGTGATATATTCGACTATAAATCGCCCTCCGTTTGCGAATTGCCGCATAGTCGATATCTTTGAGCACCTTCTCCAACTTGATCAAGTCGACACCTTCGATAACCCGATCCGGCCAATACTGCGACTCGGCCGAGGGCTTGCACTGAGCTTGAATGTTGGGGATGCTGTGTTCGACCGGGTAGATCCGTACTTCGAAGACACCGCTCAGTTTCTGGGGGGATGTAAATCAAAAATCTCAGCGATGGCAACCCACTCACGGCAAAAAACGGCACGAATTGAGTGCGTTCGAGGTAGCCTGTCTTGGGGTTCGCGAATTCGGCCCAAACTTTCTTGAATGCACGCATCTGGGCTCGCGTGATAGACTTGGTCCCACCCGACGTTTGGAAGACATAGGAAAAGTTCTCGACGACCACACCGGTGAACATGTTCACGAAAATGTACTACGATGTCGGATCAGCATTTTCGAAACAGGGCGTCGAAGATGCTCACCATGCTGAGTAGATTCCAGGTGATGAACAGCGTGAAGGCCCATACGGTGCTGCCACAATCCGAGTTCTCTTTCAAATCGCGATTGGTGCAACGGGGATACTCGATGGTGCTAAGATTCCATAAGCTCGCAGTGACTAATAGCATGAAAAAGACCCACTAGTCATGCATGTACTGGTTCCAAGCTTCACCAGTCGTGAAGAACGTGAGCATGACCAGGGTCGAACCCATGGTGCTGAAATTCTGTGTTCTTGTCTCGGCAGAATTCCACTTGGTCAACCCGAATACCTCGAGGAAGAGGATCGCAAAGAACAGGAACATAACCAACCACAGGCTCAACAAACTGATGATCACAGGCAGACTCGCGACCGCCGTCTTGAACAGTTTGTTGAGACTGTTCGTCCTCTCGACAAGCTTGAAGGTGATGCAGACCAGGAACAGCTTTTGCAGCTGCTGCACGAGAAATCCTATCGAGCCGAACCGTACGATGAAAGTTGTCCCGACGCTGCCTCCTGCGACAATGATGTCGAATACATTCCATCCATTTGCTCGAAAGCTGCGCCACCCGAGACCAAAGAAGCGAACCAGCACATCCAGGGTATAGATCGACGCACTCGCCAAGAAAAAGTCGTTTCGCAACGAATCGACGATGCTCTGAGTCGAGAATGTCTGTGTCATCAGCACAAAGATGTGCGCCACGAATACAGCAAACATTCCATTGGCCCACCATCCGTTCTTATGGACCGCTCGGTCGTAGCACCAAGACCGGACTGACCACGTCGGACGTGTGCGGGGCCGTTTCGAGGGACGCTGCCGACGGAATAGCTTCTGTAGATCGATCCATTCGCGTTGGGGCTGCGTGAGAAACGCTGTGCCTGTTTTGGAACTAAAGTTGCCGATGATGATACTGCAGAAGTGGTCAGAGAGTGTGAATGATGATTTCGCAAGAAGGAAACAAACCTGACAAACAGCGTCAAGATGACGACACCTCCCAGCAAGTTATAGATGAGGAAGAACAGCGAGTTGATCTGAGCAACATTGGTCTGAGGCTGGCTGTTGTTCCCTGTGATGCTGGTGGCCACGCCCATGACATCGACCCATCCTTCGAGTGACACGATCTCAAACAAGATCAACAGCGAGGCACGGAACGAGTCAAACGAGAACACTGTCGACGGCGCGGGATTGTCCCAAACGCGGGGCACGACAAAGCCAAACGCGTTCCCGAAGACAGTGTTGGTATATTCGTTGTTGCAGGTGTCTGCACCGGTGACACTGGAGTCATTGCATTCGTTCATCTTGCCGTTGAAGATGTTGAGCCCCCAGACAGCATACGGGATCATATACAAGATCGCCAGAATTCCTGCGTCCAATATCCGAAGTGCGCCAGAGATGATCAGGGACTCGAAAGTTGTGCGCATCCGGTCGACGAGAGTAATCAACCGCAACGCGCGCAGAGCTTTAAATGACCGTGTCAACCGGCTCAACCCTCCGATGAATACAAGACCGGTGATGACGTTCACCAGCAGCCCGGCCATGATGACGAAATCCAGCAGGTTCCAGATGCTCCGAACGTAGGCATTTGGAGTGAGAAGAAACCCGTCTGCGGTCACCTTGATGAGGAACTCGAGCACGAACACGAGCCCAAACACGCTTTCCGCAATATCGAACCATGCTCCCCGGACCAATCCGTGCTCAGCAAAGAAATTGCGCCTGTACACGGGGTTCGAGATCGACTCAACGGCAATCCCGCCAATGACGATCAGCAGCAGCGTCATCTGGAACAGAGGATACAGAATCGGTGATGGGGGAGTGCCAAAGATACGGGGCCCGCTTGCCGGCTGGACCAGTTTTTGACACATTCTCCGCAGCAGATTCTTCTGCGAAAAGATCCAGAATGTCTTGTCATATGTCGGGTGATCTCGGATGAAGTCGGCTTTCTGGGCTCTCCTTTCGTACAACGCGTCATTGAGTTCCTCGTTTGTGGTCGTCGTCTCATTTCGCACTGCGGCCAACAGTTCCCTGTGCTGCTGTTAGGCCAAAGAGAGACAAAGCAGAACTACGCACAAATGCCGTTCAGTTTCGTCATCCTCTGCGATTCCGCCAAGGGTGTCGTTGCGGGCATGCCGAAGCGTTGAGAGCGGGATGTCGGTTCGAGGATCGCCTCCGAACAACTTCTGCAAGGCAGAGAGCGACTTGTGGCGATAATGGCGACCTCCACTTTGGTTCGAGGCCTGAGGCGATCAGCTGAGATCTTCAAGGTAGTATCGTCGCGGCACACCTCGGTCATCATCTCCGTTTTAGGAACATTATACTCTTGCACCAGACTCTTCTGAATAGGAAGCACCAGGTTCGCCGGTAGCGCCTCGACCTTGACTTGGACCGGATTCGCTCTGACCCAGCGATATGGATTTAACTTTCGGATCCAGCTCGCACTGCCATTGGTCGGTCGATGTGCCTCTTCCCAATAATTGGTGGCCTGTTTGCCCCTCTTTGCCTCTTCCGCCACGTCAAAGTTTTCGTTGATCACAGCAATGAACATTTGGAGCACGATGACTTGTCGCTTGTCAGTCAGGCAAAGCGGAAGTATTTGACTCACAGTTAGCAAAAAGCATCCAAGCACTAACGAACAACACGGTGATAATACTCTGTCCGAAGATCTCCTCGGCCGCTGCAGTGGTGTACAGAACAGTTGTCCAATTCTCGGAGGAAAAGACCTGGTAAACGGCGAGGAACGCATTGAACAATGTGCTAAAGTTCATGGTCTCGCCAGAGTCGAGATCTCCGCGAAAGAATTGGACAGCGATGAGAGCAGCAACCAGATTCATGAGCATGAGGAAGAGCGTCATGTTGGCCAGACCATACATGTTGCCAAACACGGCCAGCTGGAAATGTATCAGCCGCGACGGAGAAAAGCATTTCTGGCACGAACCAGCAGAGGCTTCATGCGTGGAACGACCAAAATAACGCGATAGAACCGCATGAGCTGGAATATCGTGAACCAAGGATACACTGAGGACTGCCTGATCACAGGTATTTGAATCACACTGTTCGCAATTGCCAGACACAGATCGAGCCAATTCTGTCCTGGTCCCGGAGCACCATTGTCTCGCTCGCGGTCAGTAGCGGAGGCTTTCCTGTTCTTGTTCTGCAGTCCAAGCCCGAAAAACGACCGCCAATCGGGAAGTGCCGCCAGCAGACGGAGAATGATTTCGATATCAAACGCAAGAGTGATGATTTGCTCTGAGAGCAAAAGTACATGTTCTTCGTGGGCAGAGATCTCGGGGGTTCGGGTGGCCTGCAGAGCTAGTGACGCGAGCGCAAGGGCCACGAATATCCAGCGCGTGTACTTGATGACGACCGTCGCTGGATTAGCATGTCGACGAGCTGGGGGCCGGGCTGCCCAGCCATCATCGTCTGCGGTGTCAGCTGGCGTAAGACTGTACGCTGATCAGTTGTTGGACGACGGATGATGACGACACTCACTCCGTATTTCCGGCCCCGAATGCACTCGTCTTGGTTTCGGAACGGATGGCCGAGAACGTGTTCGTGATGACCGCGACGAACAGGTTGATGAGCCAGAAGTTGAGGACAATCACGCAGAGGATGAAGAAGACGGATGAGACAAAGTATTCAGCATCGATGATTTGGTACATCAGTGACGACCACTAGCACAGTATGTCAGTCTATGTTCATGAAGAAGCAGAAAGAGACTCACTCCATTCGCGGAGGCGATGATGATGACCTGCAAGGCCGAAAAATAGATTGTGTCGAAACTCTCGACACCGCTCAACGGATTTTGATCAGATTCCCTGCAAGTCTGGCCAAGGGGACAGACGAATCCTTTCACATTGGGGGAAACCTGACCCCCTGCAGTGATGTACGGTGTCACGTTCAGAGACACAGGTTCAATCCAGCCTCCGCAGAATTGGCTGTCCAACACGGTGTCGGGTTCTCCAAGCGTGGCATCAAGCACACAGGTACGACGAAGAGAGCCCTTGAATGTTTGGACCCCAATGACGCTAAACACAATCATCGCAAACAACACAAAGTACGCCACCCCGGCGAGTAGAGGCCTGGCGGTTTTGAGACTGCTCAGGATCGCAGTGGTACCCGGAGTGATGGTCAACAGCCGTGCGGTACGTAGCGCACTGAATGCTCGGAAGATCCGCACGTGGCGGGCACCGTTCTCGACCCCGAGGGTCGCAAGTACAAACGAAGCCCAGTACGAGATGATGGCCACGAAGTCGATCCGGGACCAGCTGTGGCGGAGGTACGGTGCGTTACGACGTATGAGGGAAGTGTTGGAGCTAATGGTGAGCTTGAACGGGAGGGATAGAGTCTCTGCTGGTGGTGCCTGTTTCTCTAGCAGCTTGTCATCCAAGGGAAGGGTGAAGGATTTGGAAAATATGAGGGAAGGCGGTATTTCTGGATCGAAGAGAAGACCTGAAACGCATATTCGTGCGAAGGCCTCGAGTGTGAAGACAACGAAAAGAGCGAAAAGGGCGTAGTCTTCCCAACTGTGAAAGTAGCCTCGCACTGTCAGGGGTGGGTCAGAGAGCGTGAGTGTCCTTGAGGACTGGATAACAAGAAGCACGGCATTGGAGATGATGAGTAACAGGATGATAGGTTCCGTCCAGGGATACACGAGGAAGTTGAAGCATAGCAAGCGGAGAGGGTTGGTGGGGCCGAGGATTCCCAATGTCCGACCACGGAGCGGCAACGACGTCGCAAGGTTGGGAATTTGATCTTCCTCGTCTCTTTTGTCGTCCGGTAACCTCTCTAGACCAACAGACGCCATATTCACCACTCGAACAGACACTCTGCGAAGGTTTTGCGACACATGCTTGATTGCCGTCCCGGTCTTTTTCAAAGGTGATGGTGAAGTGCTATATCGTAATGTCCTCTGCCTCCGCACTGCCGAGTCCTCCTCGCGGTGGTTTGTAAGCCGTGCTTCGTCGTCGTCTCCATAAAGCGATGCGACTGCGGAAGACGGACCTGCCAGAGTCGAGGATGCATCGTCCGCCGGCGGTGTGCCATAACGAAGCGTGTCCAGTGGAGTCTGGCTCCAGGGATCCTCTGGCATATAAAAAGGATCGTCTTGAGGACGGCCGCGGTCGCTTGGATACTCTTGTCCCCAGCTATTCCTCTTCCGCGTCGGTGAGGGCTCCAGCGAGCGTGGACTACCGGATACGTGAATTCCAGACGACCCGTAGAAGGACATTCGCGTCGGCCCGACGCCCTAGTGTTTGAAATCGAAAGAGAGAGCGGAGAGCAAGGGAACCGAATCGTGATGGCAATGATGATGGTAACGGATCGACTGGTTTCTTGCAGCCATCATCCGAGGTCTCGGAACCTCAGCGCTCTGTGTTTACACCTAATCATGGAGGCCCCGACGACCATCCAAGTGGAAGTCTATGCCGGCCGCAAGAAAACATCCCTTCTGCGCTCTCTGAAACTACCTATCACGCTCACCTTTCCGCCTTCTCCGCCACCCACCGTTCGGGATGTAAAAGCCTCCATTGCTAAAGCGTTCCCCAAGGTTGGAATCCCTCGCACGGCCATTTACCTTCCTTCACACACACGTGTCTAGCTTTACGTCGATAGACAGAAGGTCTCCCTCCCTGAAGTACCCAAGGCACTCTCCGACGAGTCTGTCATCATTTTTGGACCTGCGGGGAAAGCCGAGTTGGTTTTGGGTGACTTGGGGCCACAGATTGCCTGGAAGACGGTCTTTGTGGTTGAATACGTCCGTGTTTCCGTTATCATCCAATGTGTCCACCCGTCTCATCGAACGAAGCTGGGACCACTCATCATCCATCCCCTTTTCTACCACCTTCCACAACTCATATATAGAACCGATGTGCAGCATAGCGCGTTGCAGAAGTATGCTGCTCTCATGAAGTAATTGTGTTGATTCTGACGACTACTAGGTCCGTCTATGCCATGTGTATCTTACACTTCGTGAAGCGGGAACTAGAGACTCTGTTGTATGTCACTTGCTTCCTGACGATATAGGCTCTCATCAGCCTGCTCCCAGTGTTCACAGATTCTCGCATGCGACCATGCCCGCCAGAAACATCTTCAAAAAGCGCGTGCTTTGTCGTTTCTGATTCTTGGCAATAACCTGTTCTAGTTCTGCTCACTACTGGCTGCTTTCGGGTGTCTTCATTGCTTATGATATCTACCGTCCTCGCTTCTCGGCACCTCTAGTTGCGGGTACTTGGCGCGATGGACCAATCCTCACACTTGGGTGGGCTTTGTGGGCGGTAAGCTCAGAACAACTGCGAGAACAAAGTCCTCACGATCTCATTTGAATCTAGTTCGCTGAATTGTCGAACTTCAAAACGCACATGATAACCCGTGCATTACGACCGGCAGGCACCACCACTCGCGCAGTCCCGATGGGATACGGGTTCTCCGCGCCGTTCAATTTGGCAGCTCCTAATTACTTCTTCGAGATCCTGGCATGGACTGCGGTGTTAGGCATGACGGGCAGTATCGGAGGTCCGTTTTGTATCCATCCCTACTGCGGCTCGTTATTCACTTACATCCTCAGCGGGCATCTTCTGGGTCTTTAGTGCAGGGCAAATGGTACAATGGGCTCTGAAGAAACACCGCAACTACAAGAAAGAGTTTGGGGACAAGTATCCTCGCAACCGCAGAGCCATGATTCCATTCATACTGTAAGATAGATAGGATGAGGAACAATCAATTGTGCTCTACCGTCTTCACGTTGTCTGAGGATTTGCGTGCGACACCCATCTCCCGAGCCACAATCTTGTCACCCATGCTCTGTATGCGGCTCTTGGATGTTTTAGCGTCGGAGTTGTTCAAGCCATGCTCGACCTGGGCCAGCATTTTCTTGCCCACACCCATCGGTAACCGTTCCCACTTGACACATCGCATGCCAACACCACCCATTGCATGTCTTCGAAGGTATTTGAACCACAGGTCGACAACATGGGGATCTGCGTCCCAAGCTGAGATTCCGCGCCGATGAACTTTACGCTCAAAATTCTCCTGCGACTTCTTGTGCACGAAAGGACCACGAGGCACAGTCCAGAGCGTGCGTTGCGTCGGAAGGGAGTACATCCGCGAACAAGGAATGCCAAGAGAGTAGGCCGCATGCGTTGCAAAGTGGACAAAGAGCGACATCATCAACGGGTCGTGCGACCGGAATTGAATTTGTGCAGCAGGAAGGCCGTGAGTACGAGGGTGACGGAAGGGTCTATGGATGGAGCGTCCGTGTACGACAGTCGAGGCGAATTGAATTTCTGAACAATCTTCAGGTAACGGTCCTCGAAGAGGCAATGACCTAGTGTTGAAGCCATTGGGCAGAGTCTGTAGCGTTGCGCGTTGTCTGCTAGTCTTCAGCTTCAATCGACACACGCAGAATATACTTACTGGGTACCAAAGAGCTCTTTCGAAGACCTGGCAACCCTACAAAAAAGTTGAGAAGACGGCACTAATTGGGTCGCAGACTGTCCCGCACTTTGGTGGATCTAGCACGGATGCTCGATGAATTCGGTTGCCGTCCCTATCGAGATTGGACTCTCTGTGGGGTGATTTAGGAACACGGTGGCAGTCTGAGAGAAAGTTTGTACCCCGGAACGGGCGGAGGTGGGGAGTTCAGAAAGCTATCCGCTTCACTATGTGCTGTTCTTTAGAGTGGTCACCGATATGTTTCTATATCGTACCTATTGAAATCTGGGTCATTGCGACTGTTGATACTTGAGTCTATGATACGAAGGTCAATCGACGCTGACGCACCTCAGTTTCTCCGCCTCAAGCAAGTTCCGAATGTCCTTGTCTCTGTGAATCCATGAGGGTCCGTTCCGCCATGTTCACAGCATGACCGACATGGTAGGCGTAGATGCATATCCACGCACTGCGTTGGGCGCTCGCGTGGAAAGTCGGAGGAAGGCGAGCGGACGCGCTACAGGTCGCGCGAGAGGGAGAAACATAAAATGATCTTAGGAGCCAATCACCAGCAAATACACATCTCGCTCATGGACACACCCACATTCACCGTAGGGGAGAATGTCCTCTGCTACCACGGCCCCCTCATCTACGTCGCTAAAGTACTCAAAGCTCAAACTGCCGAGCCGGACGAGAAAAATACTATAACGGGTCAAGATGGACAGCATTACTTTGTACACTACAAAGGCTGGAAGACGACGTGCGCGCCTCGGCAGTGATCTCTGAGCGCGTTTTGACGGGAAATTCTCTGTAGATGGGACGAATGGGTGCCTGCTGCGCGTCTCCTGAAGGATAACGAACAGAATCGGATAACCCAGAAGTCCGTTCAAAAGGAAGAGTCAGCCAAGACCTCCTCTAACCGGGCAAATCAAAAGTCGAGTACTGCTGGAGCTGCGAAAGACATATTGTCAGCATCGGTGGCTAGCGCAAGTACCCGCTCTGCACGTAAGGAGACGGCAACACGCGGAACTAAACGGGGGCGCGATGCTGCAAGTGTTCTTCATTGTTCCTCTGCCTACTCCGAGCTGAATGTCCTGCAGGCTGATGGAGCACGGGCGCCCGACATGAAGCTCAATGTTCCAGAGCAGATCAAGGCCAAACTTGTTGATGACTACGAGACAGTCACCAAAGACAACAAAGTCTGCATCCCCCTGCTCTGTGCGACGGTGTTGACCTTCTGCTCTAGCTCGTAACTTTGCCGCGAAATCCTAGCGTTGGTCAACTGCTCAAAGACTTTGAAAAGTATCTCACGGAGACGCCCCCACCGCAGTGAGTCGTGCGTTTTGGTCTTAAGATCGATCTTTCACACCATGCAGCCTCAAAGATCCCAACCTTCTCGCACCCACTGTCATCTCTGGTTTGCAGGTTTACTTTGATCGATCGCTCGCCAACCATCTACTGTATCGCGTGGAACGTCCTCAGTATACTCAAATCCGGGCTAAATATATCACTGGACAAGCTGTTGTGATTGGACAAGAGAAGGAAATGAGCGAAATCTACGGGGCTGAGCATCTGTTGCGAATGCTCGGTCTGCATTCTTCTGCTTGTTGAAATCGTTCGCTCTGACAACTAGTTGCAGTCATTCTTCCGGCAATGGTCTCGCAGTCAACCTTGGATGGGGAGTCGGTTGATATTGTACGAGAATACGTCAACGAATTGCTTGCGTATGAGCTGTCCCATTTTTTCTATGCTATCGGCCCTCATTTGCTCGCAGGTGGATGCTTCAAGAGCAATCGCGACTGTTCTTACCGGAATATGCTGAACAGAGCATTGCTTATCAGAATGTGGCCAGATCTTGATATTGTTACGTGACATGAATGTACTATAAACCTTACTCTTGTTGTTTGATTTACATATATATATATTTCAGAGTATCCGAGTATTCACTTTCTTCGATCGGAGGTCTGCGCCTTTGTTATCTTATCTCAAGAGAGCGACAGATCGCATCTAGACGGCCACGTGATCCATAGCAAACTTGGACTACGGCGCACACCGCCGTGCGCACGCTACGGCCAGATGGAAAACTCGTTTCAAGGACAAAGCAACCGGCGACCGGATTTGAAGCGCAAACTTGTCGTTGTCGGTGATGGTGGCTGCGGGAAGACTTGTTTGTTGATCGTATACGCTGAAAATCGATTCCCGGAGGTGCGTCGCGTGCTTGTCTGTCCAATCTCAATCCCATGGCTGCACCCAGGCATACATTCCCACCGTCTTCGAGAACTACGTGACGCAGGTCAACTTCGAAGGCAAAGATATTGAGTTGGCACTGTGGGACACTGCCGGGCAGGAGGAGTACGATAGACTAAGACCACTGAGCTACCCGGAAAGCGACGTCATTCTCATCGTCTTCTCCGTCGACTTCCCCACTAGTCTCGCGAACGTGCAAGACAAGGTGCGAGCTCTGCAACGGGGGACGCGTCCTTCAGACTGACCGCGCGTTACGTAGTGGTATCCTGAAGTGGCACACTTCTGCGAGGGCACGCCTCTGATTCTCGTTGCTACCAAGACGGATCTCCGCCGCGACGAACAAACGCGCCGTATGCTCTCTGCTCAGGGCCAAACACCCGTCTCTCCGGAACAGGGGTCCGCAGTGGCAAGGGAGATTGGTGCCAAGTACATCGAGTGTTCTGCGAAGACGGGGACTGGTGTGCATGAAGTGTTCAATCTCGCACTCAAGGAGAGCATGCGCGGCAAGTGGGGCAAGATGGTGAAACAGAAGCGCTGCCTGGTCGTGTAAGACTGGGAGGTGTCTTGGCACTGCCCTAGCTTTCAAGCTTCGAGATCCATCTACATACTGACTGACCCGCTTCTGCGCTCGTATTTATAGTCTCTTCTCTGTTCCTCTCTGCACAGCACATCATATAGCATCACTGTATCAGGACCGACGCATGTCGTGCAATTCATTTCATCTCTGTATCTGGGACTTGAGAGTGAGATGTTGGAACATCTCTCCGTTTAGGATACAAACTGTGCCTCCGCAGATCGCAGTTTGGGCGATCGGAGCACAACAAACGCAATATCAATTATGTAAGGCGTGTGACCTTTGAGGTCACTACACACGTCGGGGTTACATATCAGATATTCGGAACCATATACGCGGTACCTACTAAACCCTGACCTACATTTCGGGAAGCACATAGATCTACATCGTCGGCGGCGGAGAAACGGCCGGATGCGTTGTAGCTGCTCGCCTCTACGAGAACGCACAAATGCACAATTACTTCTCCTCCATGGAGCTGTTGTTAGCAGAGCAACCTTAGCTCTTGGCCGGTTCGTTTGGGCAGTTGGATGTTCCATTGAGCCTCTCGTCTTTATTGCACCGGACGAGAAGGATCTCGATTTGGACTGATATTGGGATGAGCAGCATCTTACAACGACGGACCACTCAATATTCTCCGTCCTGTCGAATAGCTCCTGACGTGGACGCTGGAGTTGTCGACGACAAGGGCAGAGAACACCCCATAATTGGCCCACGGATTGTCTGTGCTTTCCTACAAGTGCCGGCGTGCTATCTGCAAGCTTCCGTTGTGATATAGCAAAGCGATGTGCCACTTTCGTGGCAGCGGTCTAGAGACAATCGAGCAGTCTTTTTACTCTGTTTATCCATAAATACAGACACATTCAGATCAACTTATGGATCGCAGTCGTGGGGTTGTGCAGCATCGGGACCTGCTCGTGGATCCGCATCTTCGCCAGTCGGGTGTGCGCCCAGCACGGTTGAGTGAACTTTATCGCGGCCGAAGTTCGTCCTGTCCAACTCAAGTTCTATTACGGGAGCAACGACGGTGGATGCTGGTGACGTGTTCATCCCCAGAGGTGGCTTGACAATGCTTCGGAGGAAACACGAGAGCGGTATTGAGAGCCCGTCTTTGCACACAAATAAGCATGCGTTTTGGAGCATGACATGAGGCAGGAACTCACGAATGAATATAGACCCGAGAACAAGGAACGCAACAATCGGCTGGAGACACATAGCAAGAATGGCAACTTGTGTCTCGGGGTCGTCGCCGTTTTGCGGGGGCGCAAGCCGAGTGAGAGCCATGGTGGAGACGAAGACCGCGCCGACGCCCATCTGCAGTGAAACAGAGTCACTAATAGATGAACATTATACAATTTCACATCTCTTACCGGCCCAAAATGTCCTGCAAACAGGGCTTCCCTCCAACCTTCGATCTCCGGAACCCAATGGTACAACATCAGCACAGCAGGGATCCGGCGCACAATTATGACAGCTATCAGCAGTGCCCTCAATCGCCAGGGCGTGATACCCAGCGCAGGCCCATCGAAGGATCCGAATGGAATCCAGGCGCCGATGTACACAAAACAGGCGCAGTTGAGGACGAGGTCGATCACTGGCCAGAATATCTCGTCCTCGGTGACATCATTGAAGCGACCATCCCAAGATATCGCGCTACCTGGGAGTGATAGTGAGTCTGGGGCATTGCATGTCTTGCACACGAGCACCTGCGGCAAAAGCAGCAAGCAGATCGTCACTGCCTATCGCGTTGACAGCACCTAATCAGATAGGATTAGATTATGATAACGGAGATCGGCAAGAATCTCATCACCCGTGACTAACAGCGCCATCGCCAGATATTGGGTAACATAAGATTCGCGATCTAGATATCCTTTCCGATATGATACCTTCATGAGATAAGAGAAGCCCACGCCTGGCTCTGGGTTAGCGCTCGTTGTCGATCATGGCTCATTCCGGAACTTACCCAGTGCAGCACCAATGACACTTCCGAGGATGACCTGGTCTGCTCAAGAAATCAGCTGCATACAGGCCACGGACAGCGCACGGATGACGCACAGAGCCATCCGACGAGGACCCATTTCTTGAATGCCTCCGCTCGAGAAGCCTCGAGTGTCAAGTAGAGGGAGATGGAAAGAAAGGGGTATGCCAGCCCATCGTTGGCAGCAGACTCGGCCGAGATGACTTGGCGCAGCTTGAGCGGGACATGCCTGGCGGCGTACTTTCCACCTACGATGGACGCGCAGATGATCGGATCGGTCGGGGTCAGACACGCGGCGATAACCAAGCACGACACAAACTCAAGTTTGGGGAACAGGACGTGTATCAGGCCTGCAACAACGAACCAGCCAACGGCCATCGTTGGCACGACGAGAATCAGCAGCCCCTTCGCGTGCTGGGCCATGTAACTTTTCGGCAGCTCGACCCCAATCGCGAACAGACCGGCAGCCAGCACCACCCGCAGAACTTCGAGAGTGATTTTGTTCGACTCGGCACCCCAGTCGTGGGGATTGAAGATATTGGCGCAATACGGCCCAACAAGTATACCGAAGAGAGTCGCGACCACGACCTCGTTGATGCAGAGCTGCAGGACTCAGAGGTTACCGTGCCGGATGCATGTCCAGACCGAGAAATAACCTTTTGTCGGACTAGTAGAGCACCCATTGAGAACTGGTCACGCTGTTCTGAGCGACAGTGCTGTGCTGGTGACACCACGGACGCACAGCTACAACAAAACCTCCGAGACACACATAGGCCAGGGCGACTGTCGAGGGCATCTGTGCCGGCAGTAACAGTGGAAGGAAGAAGGGATGTTCGAGGGTATCAGAATGCCAAGTCATAAGTAGTCCTCGCTGCCTTGCTACGTGGTCGCGGGGTGTAGGCGTGGTGGGCATGTCGATCATTCCCCAGAGAATGTGCTGTACTAGCTCAGGGTGTTTCACGATTGGAGGGCCGGAACACGGCCATATAACGTATGAATGACGGTTGTATGAATTCTGTACTTCAGATGCAGTGGAGACTTTCCAGAAAGCTTGAAACAGTTGGCGGCGAGTTGTCCATGTCCGAGTATCCCGCATCAATGTGCACTTGCCACATTACTGCGCGCGACTGAGAGGCTCCATGAACCAGGGAGGATCCTCACGATCTGCCCAGTCCAGTCACTCAATCCACCAGCATCTCGGTCCGAGGTATAGCCGCCAACAGGTCGCCACGAAGAACACACCACAGGAGACGTAGAGGATTGTAATGTGCCGCGAGTCTCGCACAGAGACGGACTGCCCAAGGAGTCAGTGTCATTTGCTGATAGTGTGCCGTACGTGTCACTTGCCGTATTGCACAAAGATGGTGGACAAAGGTACAGGCTGATTCTATGGCACAGGTCAGAGATCGGTCGTCTACCAGTCGCATTCTTCCTACTTTGATGGTGAGAGTGGAGCCTACGTGGAAATATATCCCTCCTGTCATCCCTTATCAGAACACGCTCTCATTGATACATCGTAGACCTACCAGGTAGCCGCCATGGATCTTTCACGCGAAGCATCAGAGCAAACAGGGGGAATGTGTTCATAAGCGCGATCTGCGTCTCCAACAACGCGGTCAGAAGCAGCGTCCCAAAACGCAGCTGGTCGTGATCAGCCTGAAATACTTCCGTATGAGCGGATAAGACGCACCACCGCAAAGAGAGCGTAATACACAAGCACAGTGGGGAACAAGAACGTCAGAAGAGTGAACAGGATGGTGCCGAGCAGGAGTTGATCGGTGTCATACTCCCAGGTATCATTACGATTTCGCAGTACGTTGTACCGCTTGCCTAGATCTAACGTTGAGCCAAGACCCCAGCAACGAGCTAAAACTGTGACCTCGGAACAGTCTCCACAGTGATCCCGCCGTTGTCAGCATCCACGCATAGAGGAACCGTGTGACGAAGTAACATAATGTTATGTGCATCGTAACAAAGGCCAGCAGATCAGCTGCAGCTGCAAGTCCGGTACTCAAACCGAACCAGCAAGTGAGCAGGCCGAGAACTCCAAGCGTGGTCTGCAGACCAGGGGCCAGATGTCGTAAACAAGCTGACGCGTGGTGAGTGATGGAGTATAGGCACAGACTGGATCTATCACATACTTGCCCATACAGTGATCAATCCACTAAAAGCTCGGGCATAACTTGCACTGAGCTCGGTGTTGAGTTTCAAGCCTGCAGGCCAAGAATCGAGCCACTGCAGCGTGGAGAGGAGATACCCAATCAGCTGAGTCTGTGGTTTGATTGTCACGATCAGGTGCGATTGAAAGCGACAGGGTATTGACCTGGACAAAGTCGTTTACAATACCCGCGATAGCAGCACTGTTTTCGGACAAAAATGAGCCGAAAGCGACGCCGATTGTGACATCGTTCAGGATGAGCCAGACGGTGTTGAAGAAACTGAGTGCGTGAGCGAGCAGAACCTCCTGTAAGAAAGCTGAAACAGACGTGATGTATCGACGCGCATAAGCCGAAACATCGACAAGATCCTGGTCACGTAGAGAATATGCTGTCTGGCTCAGGAAGACCAAATGTCGGGTTCGGGCGTCAAGCTGCTGGACTGGGCTCATCAGATCGTTTTTCAAGCGGAATTGAGGGGCTCACCGGTGGATGATAGCTCGGATAATACTCCCATGAGACCATCAAAGGTAGAGTTTGGAGTGGGAAGCCATCGTTTCGGGGCCGATAGTATCGTCACAACGACCGCGAAGAAATATTGGAACGTGAGCTTGTGCAGTCCAACTGCCCCAATGATATCATGCACCGCATGTGCTGCATTGAACTACACAGATGGTTATGAGACCTGGAGAAGAGTCCACGGCTCACTAACCTGTTTGACCACAAGGCTGTCGATACCTTGACTTTCTGTTGGCAAAGGACGTGTGAAGTCATGCGCTCGTAGTTTCGCGAATGCGAGACTGCGGGCCTGCGGGTTTGTCCGCGGCGTCGGTGGCTCAAGGACGTGAAATCGAAGGGAGGATGTAGGATGACGTCGGTAATAGATGATCGTATATTCACTGGAAGGGAGTGAGCAATCTGTTCACGTGTTGGAACCGTGTAGATACCTCAGATCCGGAAATTCTAGACTTGGATGCACATTTCCGGGATCAAAGACACACTGTCCGAGGTACACCGGAGGACCTCCACAGGAAACCCATCGCGCATCGTCGCCCCAGTCCTCCTGCAACGCGTCAGAGCCCGAACATCCGCACACGACGCGTCTTTTACCCAGGAATCAGTGGAGACGGCAGCAACACAAAGTGTTGGCGCGGTCCAGCCGTAACAAAAGCCAGTTGTACGGACATTTTGAGGCCAGAAGACAGTGCGCGCCGACATGTTAAGCGTGGCAGTGCTGCTGACTCATACTATCAATCAAAGTTGACTCGCTTGACGCTTTCTTCGAGATCTGAAACCTCTTTCTCCGAGCTCTCTGTTTTTCTCTTTATCCTTATTCGCACTTCAATTTCGCGTCATTTTCTTTGACGGATCTTTGTCTTATTTGATCAAGGGATATCCGAAAAAGTCCGCCGTCCATTCTGGATCATGACTCGCACTCATTTATTCGACACAGCCAAGGCTTAGGCGACTCGATATCTTAGCGGCGGATCCCATCATGGTAGGTTGGCTCATATTATGCATGTCGCACAAGTATTTATGCTGCGTCCAGCCGAGCTCATGCAGCGAATGCGGTGGGACGGTACTTGAGTACGACATGGCTGCAGGGAACGGAGTCTGCGTGGCCTGCGGCATGGTCGTCGAAGAGAACACGATTGTCAGTGAAATAACCTTCGGGGAAACATCGAGCGGTGGGGCGATGGTGCAAGGCTCATTCGTGGGACAAGGAGCCAGTGCGTGCTCGATGATCCTTCTGGCTACAGAGACTGATGGCCTCTGAAGCTGGTGCTAGATTCGGCGGTCCGTACGGCAATCGGGGAAACGGAGACTCAAGGGCGCAGACATTAGAGAATGGTGTGAACTGTTTCTTCTCTATCTTCTCATTCGTATCATACTCATCCTCACCGCAGCTTCCAAGAAGATCCACATGGTCTCCTCCGTACTTCGACTATCAGAGACAATCTCAAATGCGGCGCTGCGCATGTATACATTGGCCGTTGAGCACAAGTTCACTAAAGGCAGGAAGAGCATGAATGTGGTCGCAGTCTGCCTCTATATCGCTTGCCGGCAGAAGGAGACCTACAATCATATGCTGATCGACTTCTCCGACTTACTTCAGGTACCGGACCTATCCTCTAGCTGTGAATCTGACTCATTTTCGCACACAGGTCAATGTTTTCGAATTGGGCCACACGTATCTACAACTGGTGCAGACACTCAACCTGCGCCTTCCCCTGGTCGATCCCTCGCACTACATCGCACGCTTTGCCGCGCTGCTCGAATTCGGGGACGAAACACCGAAAGTGTCTGTCGACGCTATCCGGCTGGTCCAGCGATTCGATCGCGACTGGATGAGATGTGGCCGACGCCCTGCGGGAATTTGCGGTGCTGCGCTGCTCCTCGCAGCCCGGATGAACAACTTCCGGCGATCGGTTCAGGAGATCGTGCAAGTGGTCAAGATTGCTGATACGACCCTGAAAAAGCGGCTGGACGAGTTCAAGAATACGCCAAGCGGGCAGCTGACACTTGCCGATTTCCGCAGTGTGTGGCTCGATGAGGAGGTTGATCCGCCGGCCTACACACGGAATAAGCAGAAGGAAGAGGAGGACCGACTTGCGGTGGCGGAGGCTGCTGAGGAGGCCCTGATGGGCGGTTCCAAAGAGCAAGAGGGGAAAGTGAAAGGAAAGAAGAAGAAAAAGAAGGGAAAACGGAAACGAGAGGAAAGCGACCAAGATGATGAGGAGACGTTGGCATCGAAAGCGGACGGCGTCGATGCAACTACACCCCTGCGAGTTCCTTTAGATCCTTCGGATCTCAATGCTGGCATCCTCGCTGGTACCTCCTCCGTTCCGCTGTTTTTGCCAGATCTTGACGAGGAAATGAATCTGGTCGCTGACAAGGATGATCCAAACATCGACCCAGCACTATTGTTTCCACCTTCGACTGATCGCACACTCGTCAACTCGTCATCTGCCGCAGAGACTTCTCTATCCGAAGCGTTGTCAGAAGAAATGACGAACTATCTTGAGAATACTCAGGGCGCGATGCTCTCGTCTGCTTTAGATGAGGCACAGGCGCGTCGGATAGCTCAGTTCGAGACCGTTGACGAGCTTCTGGGTCTCAACGAGGACGAGCTTGATCGATTCATCTTGACGGAAGACGAGGTCAAGGTCAAGGAACGGGTCTGGGTGGAGCTGAACAGGGACTACCTCGAAGCATTGGCAGGTACGTAGACCCAATCACAACCACCGTCGTGGAGTTCTGTTTTGTTGAGTGGTTACTCTGCAGCTAAAGGGGACGAGGAGAAGCAGGCGACTAAATCGAAGAAGGTTCGAATCCCAGCCGTGACGTTCTTTTATCTAACACCTTTATCTTTACAGCGCCGGAAGACAACTTCCAATGTCCCACGCGACACGTCAAATCCTACAGCGGACTCTGCGGCCGACTCGGCCGAGCAGCTCGTGAAGAAAAACAGCCGATACAGCAAGCGTATTAATTATGACGCGTTACGTAATCTTCTGGTGGAAGGTCCGACATACGACGAGAAGGACGACAGCCAATTGTATACTTTCGACGACAAAGATGACGATGAAGGCATGCAGAATCTCGTTGTAATCGAAGGCGAAGCTGAGCCGGCACCTCCCTTGATCCGGAGGACACCCAAGTCTACAGCTGCCGCACCGCCAGAGGACGACGAAGACGAAGAGAGCGACAAGGGCGAAGACTTGGGCTGGGAACAGGAGGTGTAATTTCTTGTTGTTAAAATTCCAAAGCATTTGTATTTGTATTCCATGGCATAAGGACTGGCATGACACCAATTCACAGTCAATCGATTCGGGCGCCTGCTGCCCTGGTGACGACCAGAACGGCGCCTGAACTCACACCCTGAATTCGATGACCATCCAGTGAGTCATGTATTCTCTCACGCTGGAATGAAGATACTTTTGTTCTCCTTTGAGCCACCGAATGTGTTTGTTCTCAATCTCCGCGCATCTAATGCCTCGTGCCAGCTCTTCTTCCTGATTATCTACCAGCCCTGAAAGAAGTTCGAGTCATCTTCCAAACTATCCGGATTGATAAGCATGACTCGAGAGTGTGTGTATGAGAAACTTGGATCCCAGGTGTCCCACAATCAAAATTATGACTCGACGCAAATGGCGATAAAATAGCATACATAACACATGCGTGTACACCCCAATCGAACGAAAATACATTGAATTGATGCACTAGTTCAACACGGACGGCCGAGCTCCCACGGATAACCGCCCCATATCCACCAAGAAAGCTTCTTCCAATAGCCCGCATTCTTTTCCCAAATTTGTCCACGCAATTTAGCAGGCGACATCTTGCTAGCGATCATATGCAGCTGTTCCAATGATTTTTCAGGTTCTGGTCGGGCGTGGGGATCATCTGCCATCATTTGTGCCGCGACTGGCACAAATGCTTCCAAGCCGTAGTATTCCTCGCAATCGCAAATCGCTAAGCCTCGGTTACGACAGGAAGATGATTCACCTACATCGATGATTCTCTGCATCGTTAATCCTAGTTGGTAGACGTCGACGTAAAAGGGATTGTATGGGACGTCCAAGGATAGCTCCGGAATTGTAGGAAACGTGCGCAAGGTCCCAGTGTGGAGTGCTGATTGTTTCCCTTGCGGGAAGTGTAAGGAAAGCCCGAAGTCGATATAATAGTATCGCGTAGGTCCAGTGGAACATCGATTCCTCCAGTAGAAGAACGTGAGGTCTCCCTCGTGAGTATCGGGGAAAGCGAAATGCGAGCCACGAGGGACCACCTCCGATTCGTCCATGAGCATGTTCTGCGGGGCAATATCACTGGAAAAGCATCTTGAAATGAGCATGCAACGGCAAGGTTGGACCTACAAGTGTGCGATATTGTGATTGTGCATGAATTGAAGCCCCTGGAGCGCCATCAAACTGGAAGGTCAATTGGAGCAGAGAATGTCACCTCGAGAAATTGCGACATCGCCTCAACGAACTCGTTCGGGCAATGGAACGGGGGGAATGTAAATCTGCGGCAGTAAGGCATCACGATGATTGTCCATTCGCTGTCCGGGAGTGCGAACGAGTCCAGTAGCGGAATCGTCCGATTTCTGGGATCTTGCCGAAGGGAATCGAGGTACTTTGCGATACCAATTTCTGGATCTCCCGTCTCAATGCGTTTCAGGACCACCTTCTTGTTGTCTGATAATCGTATAGCATCCAGTGCAGCTGGCTGTTCCAGTCATCGTAAGGGACTGTATTTCTAAGCAGTCTGTCCCACCCACCGCGACCGATGGTATCGAGTGCTCAGAGAGACTGAAGAGTTTCCCTTCGAGCCAGGAGTGATCCCAATTCGGATCGTACCGTGGACGCAGTCTGTATCCACGAGATAACAGAAAGGGTTGATAAGAGACCCAGAATTGTTCAAAGTGTGAGCGCCAGATAGAAACAGACTTGTCGGCCATGAGAATCTATGTTTGTTTGCTCTTAGAGTGGTTACGTCGTTGTAGAAGGCAGATTTTTGGTGCGTGGGTGACACCAATCTCTGATGTGAATAGCGCAAGCACTTGTTGTTGCTTGTTGGGTCCAGTGTGAGAATGAACTGATATCGCTCGTCCTCATCACAGTCCAATCCTCGATCAGATTGAAACCAGCATTCCCCGATGCATCTTTTCAAAGCAGAGCCTTTGACTCACGTAGATTTCATTCTCCGCCGGTCGGCTCCGAGCTACTGGCGATAATAAAAGGTAACAAAGCGAAATCTCTCATAGACCCACGCTTCAAACACTCTTGAGGCGGCCTACGATGTCTAGGATCAACGACCCAGTAGGCCATCTCCCGTTTCTGTCTCCTTGTAGCTCAAGCTCAAGGTCTTAGATCTATATCTCGTCGCAAGAAACCCTTGACGCCCTCACAGCGCAAATTCACGGATACATTGCAGGCATCGTCTCAGCCGAAAGTGGTTCAAGAAACGCTTCGTTTATGCAAGATGAAATCAGAATATTCAAGGAGTGCGATGAGTGGTACTGCATGAACTTTGCTGCATCGTTGCTCAACCTGCCGTCAGATATCTCGAGCGACTACATCTCCTGCCTGGCGATCAAAGGACCTTTGTCAGTACCCTCATCGTCAAGATCATCGGAGATCTTCCAGGATCCAGGGCCCGTGCAGCCATCTTGAATATGTGGAAGAGCTATGAGGTGTGTCTTCCATCCACCGTGGGCCATGAGGGTACCCATGCATTGATCACAGGCAAGATCTCGTGAGCGGTGTGTAGTTGCTAGATTTAATGTTTCTCTCCTTGTGTGTCTGAAGCGTTAGCTGCAGCCGTCGTGGCCGCGCACCCATTCCAGCGCAGTATACGCAGCCAGTGCCTCTGTAAAGTTCTTTTTCTATAACTATCCCTCTACTGACTTCCATTCTCAGGCCTGTTGAACCGTACGCTCGGGAACCGTCTCTGTTCTCTATCGACCTGTCTTCCGGTAGCAGTCAACAGTAAGCGCGACCATCCTGATGTCTTTTGCAATGGAACTGACTTGGTGCAGCTCGCAGATCTCTAGCTATCATTCCGCGCGTTACCCGTGAGCCATGCACCTCGGTTTACACTCTTTTCAAACGCTGAAAATACGTCAGGACGATGCCAATGGGGCTGTCTGGTCACTCGTATGGTGCGAGGATCAACCTGCCCGTTCCGGCTGGGACACCTGGATTTTCGCCGCCACGCACGTCTGCGGACTCTGGAAAGTATGTGGGCAAGACATCGTGATTTTGTGATCTTCGCTGACTCGGTTACTCCAACAGCAGCGAACAATGGCCTATGTAAGTCATCGCCTGAGTATCTACCGATCTTCCGCTCTAGCTTACACACTTGATAGCCCTGGGCCTGTGAACAACGATCATCTTTACGCGTCTGTCTCAGAGGCTGTCCGGTATAGTATATGATGTGACTCACGTCTGTCATCCACAGACTTCCCAATCCGCATCATGGACGCATGCAAGAAGCGATCTATCGACAGAATGTTGGCAAACCTGGGTGTGTGAAACTCGCTCACCATTTAATCAGTCAATGTCACCCATGAGCAGCTGGTATTCTCCATTGCCGCCGCCGCATCGGGACCATCGGGACCCTGATTATCCCACCGGCGTCGTCTTTGGCACTCCGGACAGCGGGCATCATGCCAGCTCGAGCTATGGTGGAAACCCGCAATAGGCTATCACGAAGATGCCTCGCATCGTGCTTTCTCTGACTCTCGTTGTGTCTATGCTTTTCATGTTCTCTGTAACACAATCTTATCCCGCGCAATGGAAGACCTCTTGGTCGTCCTTTCATTCGAACTGTTCGGATCTGACATAAGTGCATAACCTCGTTACGGAAATCAGAGATATCCAGACAATCCGGAAGAACCAACAAGTGATCTGTTACCATTTTAGGCCGCGGCACATAGTGATGAATGCTGTCTGACGTCAAACGATTGACTGGCGCTATGGAAGCCTTCCACTAGTGGGCAGGTTCACCATCCGCCTCTCACTCGTCTACTCCACAACTCACAAGCTCTGTTCCCTATCCATGTACTCGCGCCTGACTAGGGAGGTTCGACGCAAGGCCTGATGTCCAGAAATGGAAGGGCTGACCGCATCGCCGCTAAATTGATGCCGGTTGGCTTCCTCCGATTCCGCACGGCAATGCCGCAAGCGGTTGCACTTTCTAATTTAAACGGCCTCTTCTGCCCGTCGTGCTCCTGCTCTTCCTGTCATCTTCATAGCTTTGTCATCCTGCGGACTTGGCTCGCTGGCACCAGGGCGTCAATCTAGCCTTGCGTCACCCGGATCGTGAAATCTAAATCCGCACCTTCACCTGTGCTTGCACCTGCACGCCAAGAATGTCGGATTTCACATTGGTCGACCCGCGAGGCTGGGAATACGACCTACACTCTGTGCGCTCTTCGCGGTTCGGGTAGAGTTGTGAGAGGCTGAAGGGGCTGTGATAGGTGTATTCGGCATACATTGGTTATTTCCAGCAACATAACATACCGTGGTGAGTCTCCGACTTTGTGCACTTCTCTATCCGGCCGTCTTCTCACAAGTCATCAGGTATGAACGCTCTTGGGGGCATCTGTTTTCGACCTTCGAGGAGTTTCTCGCGTTCTCGTGGCCCGCAATCACAGTCACCGACGCATGGACCGGCCGAGCCCATATCGTAACTCGACTCAACTCCATCGGAGCCTTCTTAAAGATGATCAAGACCCGGTAGGCTGCCCAGATCTCTGCACAATCATGCTCATTGCTCGGCAGATTTGGGGAGACGCTGCCTCAAGCACCCAATATGCTACAAGTAACTCCATTCGAGACAAATTCGCGGCATCTTCGTACTGTCTCCGACTATGCAAGCTACAAGAAGATGCATTCTACACTGCCTGCCGCAGTCCTTTCGGCGCTCAAGCAGCGTGTCCGGGCTGGAGAGCCAAAGGCTATCCGGGATCTTTGGGCGTCACGCGATCGAACATTCTTGGCTATTAGCTTTGAATGGAGTGAGAGGAATGAGAAAAGTTGCTTAGAGTGGGGCTACGCTGCTGTCCGTTGCGGTCATCTTGAAGCGTGCGCGCTCTTCCACTCAGGTGTCAGCCTGGCATTAACATTGTGCAGACAAGGGTATTGGCCTCCAATCCCTGAGTCGAATTACAGGTATGACATCCGGTCCGATGGGGGTTGTTAGGCCGTCTTATAGCCGTTTTTAGGAAAGGCCACTACATTGTTTCCGAATATGTCGACAAAGTCGTCAATAGGCACTCGCCGACATTTCCTTGGCAGGTATGTGCTCGGGAACATCTTGTTTGCTATTCGCCGATACATTTCTACAGTATGTCGTGAGTCTGACCAAGGTGATTGTCCAATTGCTGGTTAACCCGCCCACCCAAGTTTGGAGACAGTCAAATGTGTCAAAAATCAAGACTGCCCCAGATTATCCAAGCGGTTATCAGGTATGAACCCCGGTATCACTTTGTCTTGCCTTCCGATACTCACAGTGCACTGCAGCAGTCTTGCCAGCCCAGATTCGGAGACTTTGCCGAACACATTAGTGCTTGTGGCGCACGGTATCAGCGGCGATTTGGCTCATTTGGAAGAAATGAAGATCAGACTGCCGCATAACATGCTCATCATAGACACGGCAAATTTTGAACGTTCCCTGTTTTCGGCCGGACACCGGCCGCCCATGATCGATCCTCACACGTCTGCGCCCGGGAATCCCAAACCGCGCGGCCAAGGTTCGGTACTCAGCCTAGATAATCTCCTGCGCTCCCTGCCTGCGCCTGGGACAACAGACTCTGGCGTTCTTCAGACGAATGTTGTTGTGCCCGGCCAGTTTCCCCAGCTGGGTGCGATGATTCCCGGCGTCGTCCTACACAACTCGGGCAACGACGCATTTATGTGCTTGTATGCGCTTCAGCTGCTGCTCCAGCCGCAAGACACATCGGCGCCAATCCCCAAGCAACCAACAACCCGTCCCAATCCCTATAGCATGCAACCCAGCATGCCCATCCCTATGCCCATGTCGATGTCGATGACGCTGCCGATGACCCACATGGCAATGATGGGCTCGGGACTGGGTGTTCCAGGGATGGTCAACGATTTCGGCCAGCTGAGCGTCAACACTAGGCAGGGCTCACGGTCTCCGCGGCCGATCGCAAGCACGCTGGGAGTACCCCAATCGCCCTCGAAATATGGAAATGGAGCCGCATCGATGGGCAGAAATTCGAAGCGGGCGAGCGCCCTGCCCAAGGGTTGAGCCTCGGACGTTGTTTCGAGCTCGTTTACATTCGAGGAGTTATGGACCTTTTTATGATAGTCTCTGTATGCACTAATATTCAACCCTCGTGGCGATAGCCGCGTCATTCTCGTGCGGTCTGCGCACTTCGTAGTGCTTCTCTCGTCTTAATGAATGCGTTATGCGGCGCTTCGTGGCTGCAAGCTGGAAGCTGCCCGGTGGCGGTGCCATGTCTACCATTGTTGTGAGCGACGTGACAGTTGTTGAAGGCTCCATACGCGCTCTCAAACTCCATCATGCCTTCCCCCGCTCCTTTCCCCAATCCTCAGAATCCTCCGCCGTATCCCGCCTTATACTTATATCCCCTCAATGATACGTTCATCCCAAAGCACATCTCCCTCTTTCCCTCTGGACACAGCGTCAAAATTGGTCGTCAGACAAATGCGAAGACAAATCCCGGAGAACGCAATGGATACTTTGACTCAAAGGTCCTCAGTCGACAGCATGCGGAAGTGTGGGAGGAGAATGGCAAGGTTCGTCTGCTCAATGGCCAAGGTCGCTGTGTCCAAAGAGACTCACTGCATGGTCTTCAAGATATTTATTAGAGATGTGAAGAGCTCCAATGGCACATTCATTAATGGCGAACGACTAAGTGCGGAGGGCGTGGAATCTGAGCCTTTCGAGCTGAACAGCGATGATATTGTGGTATGTCTGTATGCATGGTATTGTCGCTCGTTCTCACCCAGCGTAGGAATTTGGTATCGACATAGTGGGCGAAGACAACAAAACTATCATACATCACAAGGTGGCGGCTCGGGTTTCGTGCGTTCTCACCGAACAGCAGGCGTCTATTGCCGCGCGGTCAGAACAGCAGCAGCAGCAGAGTCAGGGGCAATACCCCGCATCCATGATGCCACAGTCGGGGTCCGGAAGCGCTGGGCCGTTCAATTTCGGCCCCGGTGGGCCGCAGGGACAACGACGAGCGCAAATACCACATCCTGGCCTGAATGGCATCGGTGGCATGGGCGGCAGTGTACGACCTCCCGGCAAAAGCGGGCTCACTTTCGATCATATCCTCACACGACTACAAGGAGAATTGGCAAAAAGCAGGGAAACGGGACATGATTTACAAACTTTGAGCGGCGCTATGAATGAAATACAGGATACACTCGGTGGTTCTATGGTCTGTCGTCAAGGTCCCATTTGCACAGATGAGTCACTTACAGCTCCTTTCTTACAGCCTTCAAATCTCCCTGTGTATCCTCATGCTCTTCCTTCTGTACGGCCTCCACAATCGGAGCCACCTCCGGCTATCGTCGCTGCTCCAGTTGCCGCCGGCCCCAGTGCGGAGAGCCTGGCGGATCTCAGAGCGCAACTGGATACAACACAAAGCTCGCTGACGACGCACGTTGAAAAGATTCGTGCATTAGAAGGCGTTTTTTCGGAGCAGGAAGCACTGAAAGAGGAGGTGCGCACCCTACGGGACCTTGTCGGCGTTTTGCAGCAGGGATCTCGGTCGGTTGGCGAATCTGGGGATCACTTCGATGATATGGAGGAGGAGGTGGATCTCGATGACGATTCTGACGCGCGTAGTATCGCGACCGTGATTCCGCACTCCCTCGAGCCTGTGGACGAAGAAGACGAGGAGGATCGAGATGAAATGTCGCACGAGGAAACGCTTTCGGAATCGTCGCATGACATTGATATGGAGGCAGTCGATGATCGGGAACATGCACGACCTCGGACCCCCGAACCGGGTACGCTCGGCATGGGTCGAGGCGCTCGATCGTCGACATTGCGAAGTCCCATACAGCCATCGTCCTCGTTGACCCCATCCTCGCCGACTGCCTCGAGCTCGAATCATCACGTCATACACGAACTGACGACTCGTCTGGGCCAGATCTCGAGCCAACTGGAGTCGGCTCTTTCTATCTCGTCCACGCTGCAGGCCCAGCATGCTGCTGCACAAGAGACCATCATTGCGCTTGAAGAAAAAGTGAAGCGGCTGGAAGGGCTTGTTTCCGCCGTCACATCAGAGAAGACGCCCCCGGATGTGCCGGAAACGGTCACCTCGGCTCTCAATTCGCTCAAAAGCTCTCTGCAAGGGCAGTGGTCTTCAGAATGGGCGCAAGAACGAGAACGGTTGAAACGTAGTCGTGATGAATGGGAGACTCAGATGCTGGGCTTGGTGGATGAACGCATCAAGGTGAAGTTGGCCAATCACACTTTGTTCGGGCCACCTGCCAAGTCGGTGTTTTATCCACATGGCAATGGTGGGCTAGTGACACCTCCTAGTCCTCGGAGCTTGTCGGCCGACTCGAGTCCTGGCCGTCGCCGTAGGAGGCGCAGCTCAAGTCGGGGACGGTCCAGTTCTCCCAAGGGAAGCGGGAACTCGGACGGGTCCTCGGCTGACAGCGTTGGCTCTGAGGATGCCATCACAGAGCTGGCAAAGAATGCCCGAGTCGTGTTGGCTACCCCGGCACCCTCAATCTCCTCTTCTGATGGGCGGTCACTCAACTTCGCGGAAACGCCGTCAGCCGAGGTGCGAGATTTGCTTCTCATTTTCTTCGGGGTATTGATCTGTGTTGTGCAGAAAACGCCTGCTGCCGCGGGCCAGACGATGGGCTCCTCAGACCGAAATATTCAAATCCAGACCGCGCTAGGCGTGCTAGTTTTAAGTATGGCGGCAGCGGCGGTGATATGGCGGGTCAAACCCGAGTGACGAAATCCGTGATGATTTATGATATGCTATCGCAGGACCCCTTCGTTTTTATTCGCTCTCACTTTCCCTTTACCTTACGCTCTGCACTATCCATTTTTGTACAATTAACATTGATCCTGCATGACCCAAGAAGTTCCACACAATTGAAAGCAAACTCTGCGGTCTGACCGTGCCTGTGCGGTAAGTCAATGACGCGGACGCTCATGATCAGCCGCTTCCCCTTGCTTGAAGTTCTGTAATTCTATGCCGATGCTAATCTCATCTTACCAGGAAAGACGGCTATGCGGATGCGTCGAATGTCGTCTCGTTTACGAGCAGGATTACATCGGGTTTGTCAATTCCCGACCTGCGGCAAATCAGCACTTAGAAGATGTCGAGTAGTCCCTTTAAAAGGTCACTGGATGCGATGCTCAATGGCCTCACACAATGACCATCTCTACAAACCCTTCTGCTCCCTTGGTGGCTGTTGTCGGTGGGACAGGCAACCAAGGCAGAAGCGTAATCGATGCGCTCGACTTGTCTCCTCGGCCCTACAGAATTCGAGGCTTCACGAGGGATGTGACCAAACCCGCCGCACAGAAATTGGCCGCAAGGGGCGTTGTCATGTACGCAGTGGACCTCACAGTCCAGAACAAGGACGCCGTGATGCAAGCGTTTGTTGGCGCCGATCTCGCCTTTGTGAGTCCTTCCTGCGATGACTCGGTATCGCCTCTCTGATCGCTGCCGCAGCTGGTGACAAACTTCTGGGAGCATGTCGACCCCGAAAGAGTTGCGTGTTTTTGGACACCCATGACTGGGACTAACGCTGGCACCAGGAGATCGCGGAGGGTAAACTGATGATCGACGCTGTTAAAGCTGCTGCAGTCAAACGAGTCGTCTGGTCGGGACTCCCTTCTCCCGCCAAATTCAGCGACGGAAAGTACACCGAGATTGTTCATTTTGAGACGAAGGCCGAGATCTCCATATACGGCCGCGAATCCGGGGTTCCAATCGTCGACGTTCAGGCCGGATACTACTCTTCGAACCTCTTCAATCCCATTTTTGGTCCACAGAAACAAGAAGATGGATCCTTTGCACTGGAATGGCCTTTTAGTCGGGCGACTCAGCTGCCAATGATCGACACGGCGACCGACTATGGGCTGTGGGTGTTGAAAGTCTTCGAGCAGCCGGAATTCCCCGTTGGATCTACGCTGCATACCGCGGCTGAGATGATATCCTTTGAAGACATCACGTTTCAACTTGCTGAAGGTAGGCCACATCTTCGAGTCGAGCAGGCTTCGCACACGACACTGACTTCCTGTGCTCAACAGCAACAGGCAAGAAGATCTTCGCCCGCCAGCTCCCTGTTCCGCAATTTGTTGCTCGGTGCACAGCTGCGGCCATGCCGCCCCACATCGTGCGGGACATGCAAGATACTGCGGGAGCAGTTGGAGAATTCGGATGTCAGTCCTCACATCACTAGTCTCCTGTCGTCTGATCCCAAGGACCATCATAGACTATCCCCCCGGTGCTCCGATCGCAAACTCCGAGGGTTTACTGCGTGCACCTCGCAAATGGGCTGAAATTGCTCGGACCACTGACTGGAGCTCCGTCCTTGCTTGATTGTGAAGAATGTGTTGATACAGATGTTCGAGATGATGTAAATGAGTAGATTGAAAGCTGAAGGACAGCTCTAGACCCTCTTTTTCCGCAGTACGTGCATGCTAAGGGAGTCAGTTTGGATAAGTGCTCTCCATAGCTGCCGCCAGGAGAGCGGATTTCCCTGCCTTTGATCGACGACAACGAAAAACAACGCAAGTAATTCACGCACCTCTGTTCTGCTCATGACACAAAAGCTTCCGATCGAGCCGCGATACTCAAAGACCTCGACCTCGACCCAGCCTTTGAAGATAACCTTCCGCATGTCTTGTCCTCCAATTCTCAGTCTGAGCTTCGGAGGGTTATCGAATGTTGCGGGGGCGTCGCGTACTTGAGCATCCAGCGATTCCAGCCCCAATTTGATCAGAGGAAGAATGGTCTCAGGAGGGAGAGATGCGTAAAAACGTGTCAGTCGAGGCTCATGTCGTCTGCCGCCCTGTGTTTGAGACTGAAGAGACCACATTTGAGACTCGATGCGATTATCAGCGGGACCAGAATTCGCTCACAAAGAGCATTAGAGATTGAGTGAATTGTGTCATTGCCGAGAGCATTGGAACGTCTTCATCTTCCATGCTTGGAACTTGAGAGTGGAGAAAAAGAGGGTGGGCGAGAAAGTACTGTACCGTATTCCCAGGTCAGGTTCGGCCAGATCCATGTCTCCCGACTGGCGCAACGGCTCACAGAGAGCATCAGCAAGACCCATCATCCCTGCCTTGGCGAGTTGGCTGGGTCTTTGGCACCATGGATGCTGAAATGCGTCAGCTAAGGTGAATCGATCTCGAGGATCAACAGTAAGCAGCCCTTGGATGAGCGCTGGGTAAGAATGAGTCACAGACTAATCGTCGTGTATTTCGCACGGCTCACACAATGCTTGACTGCTGAAGCGACACCATGGCTGTTCTTGTAGAATTTCACCGGAAAGATAGGCCATGAATTCGGGACTATTCCGAGATGGTTCGTCCCAAGGTGTGTCTCCAGGTGATCGTGGATCAGTCAAGGTAAGTCACTTGAGAGAATGAGCGCGACGTACTCCCAGCCAGAAATGTGAACAATATCACCCCCATACCCCAAACATCGATCGGTTCAGCCGCGTATGGTTCAGAGCCGTTCAGCTAGAGCTTTTCATTAAAGATATTCCGATGAGGACTGGAACGACTCACCTCAGGAGCGACGTAAGGCAAACTGCCACTTCGTTCAGACAACATCCGGACTCGTCCAGTATCCTTCAGCTTGTATACAGTCGACAAACCAAAATCGCATATCTTGAGTGTACCAGCTGCATCGAGGAGGATGTTTTCTGGCTTGAGATCTCGGTGACAAACCCCTTCTTTGTGTACATAGTCCTAAAGATTCTGAGCGATGGGCAACAAAGAAAGAGAGAGCCGTGTACCATCCCTGAGAGTAGTTGATTGAAGTAAAGATGCGATAGATCATCGTCCAGCCCAACATCCGGAGCTAGAACCAACGTCAGCCGCCGCATGGCTGAGGGTTTGAATCGATGTTCACCAATCTTATCGAACAAGTCTCCACCCGCCGCAAGCTCAAGGAGAAGATAGTAGCCAGGATGATACCTTTGAGCGTACTTCATCTCGACTATTACTGCGTCGAGGAGCTCCAGGACATTAGTGTGTTTTAGCTGTGCGTGAATCCGCATCTCTTTGTCAACCTTCTTTCTGTCTTCAGAGAGGGTTCGGTCGGTTATGCGGATGACTTTGCATGCTGCAACACGGTGGTCGCGTATATTGGTGGCGATCCAGACACTGGTGGCAAGAAGGTGAGATTCTCGATTGTGAGAGCATGTCGATGCGAGTCATGCCACACACGTAGAGAAGCCACCTCCTCCAATTTTGTCATGCAGCTTATACCCTAAGGGCCTTTAGAGATTGTCCGGAGCCATACATTGGAGCCCTGACGAACCGACAACATCGGGAAATGTGGGTTCAGACATGATAGTCGCGTCTCAGCCGTGATCGTGGAAGTCACTGAAAGAGATAGACGCGCTTGTCACAAAGCACGTGTTCGTTTGCACTTTGGTCTGATCCACACAGAAAGAAAATCCGATTCAAATCGTAAAGACTGTACTACATGGGAGTAACTCAAAGCTTTGCAGCCAGATTCTGACCGCGCAACAGCAAAGGCCTGATCGATTTCTAGGACACCAGTGAGTGCACGCTGGAAACAAAGTGAGGGAGAACAGACGTGGTAGGCTTCGGTAACCTCAGTCTGGTTGAGAGGTTCGTCCCGCACTCGGTTCCATATCGCCTCGTACACATTTCCATCGTACCGTCCGAGTGAGCTGAAGGGTAATTGGGAATGCATTTTCTACAATGCGAAAACACGCGTCACCTGTCGAGCTCCCAATCGGTGAATCCGAATGCATCCGTCAGTCCGATCGCTTCGGGCAGGAGATCAGCACAAGACTGGGCGATCGACAACCGAAGCTCGCGCGTAGGATCAAGAGACTTGGTGGCGGTCTCCACCACATTGAAAAGTCCCAGCGATAGTAGATCTGTCAGCGCAGACTCGACCGTTGTCAGGAGATACTGCACAGCCATTTTACTCAGGGAGGATAGCCACACCGGTGCGGGCAGTGCGCACCAAATTGTAGACCTTGCGGACGACAGTCGATTCCGAAGCGAGCGTTGCAATCATTTCACCAATTCTTGCAGCGACAAACGCCTCGGTCACTGCTTTCGAGACACGTTGAGTCGTCGTTGGGTCCGGGCTTGCGGCAACGAGTGCAGCTTCATTGACCAGTCTTGCTGCTCGCCATTCCAGCAACAGAATTGAAATCGCCGGATCGGACCAAGACTCTGGTCCTAATCGAGGCGGCACATGTTGTGTGTCAAGAACAAGTCGGAGATAAAACGAGGACGGCGCGAGCTCTTTTGAGGAAGAAAGGTTCTTGAAGGCCTTCAATGCTGCTCTCAGCACTTGCCCATCCAGCACGAAGTTCTCCCCCTCGTATCTGCAGCCAGTTAACGGGGATGGTGGTGAGCCGGGGACAGACTCACGTCGCGGCAGGCAAGTAGTCGGCATACATCCTTCCCACGCCAGCAAAAGCGCTGTAGCCATGTCCTCCCATTGATCGACGGGCTATCTCGAGGTCTTGAATCGTAGTCGTAGACGCCAGAACTTTGAGTCCGCTCGTCATCACGTGCATTTCTGCCAACTGCGAGGTGTCGCCGGATGAGAGACCCTTTGCCAGAGAATCGAAGCCACGGGACTGCACATAAATCTGCTCAGCAGAATCTTGAGAGTGCCAATGGCACGCACCAGAGCACGTCCAAGCTCGATAAAGGCGTAGGCACGCGCAACAAGAGGGACCAGTCGGATGTGCAACGACGGGTAAGATATAACTTGATGTTCGAGCCCGTCGGATCCGACCGCTCCTTGCCGGCGGACAGTGGCGTACCTGATAGCCACAGTAGCGCCTGAACACCTGTTAGCCGAAGCTTGCACATCGATACCCTGATTACCTTTGCCAATCGCCCAGCCGGCAGTAGTTACCATTCTGGTTCAGGATGAGACCTGCGACGAGACCTGCGACATCATGTCCCAAACGAACCACGCACCCAGAGCGGATATAAAGCATCTACCACACTCATTAACGGGGGCGAAGCATTTGCAGTGCAGCAACACTTACCCCGCCATAGCTCAATTTGGCATGCGGAGGAGTCACATATTCTCCAGCAGCAGTAACATCTGCAAACTTGGAGAGCATATATTCTTTCGGGATGCGGACCCGATCGAAGCGCGCAAACCCATTGTCTGTCGAGGCATAGCCGGCCAGCGCTTTGGGGCCTAGGCAGAAAGACTCAGAAGACGAGGGTTTCCATTCGGAAAAACTGACCGATGTCGCCCAGAGTACGGCCAGGAAGTGGTCGATGATCAGCTGTGTTCGAAATTGGTCACAAGTAGTCCCGTTTCCAAACAAACAGTCCTACCCAAGGACCTTAGCTGCACAAAGAACAGGTGAGGACCCATGTCCTTCCCTCCCGGTAGTATCAGCTTCGCTTGCACAACCCCGTGTGTAGCCGTTTTCCCAAGACTTCCGATCCACCACTTCGTGCTCGTCAGAGTTGGAGAGTGAATCTCGAACTCTTGTGTGTCCAGTTGGTACGTCGCGGTTGTTTCAAGCATCCGGACGTTGGTGCCATGCCCGAGTTCAGTTTGGAGGTAGCAGCCAAGGATTCCTTTTGTAGCCACCAAATGAGCGTAATGAGCGAGCAAGGCATCGGATGCTTGCAGACGAAATACAGGTTCGAATGCTGTCAAGGTTCAATTGTACTACAGGACGAGTGTCTAATAGCATTCACTCACCGATGTTATGCAGAGCTAGAGTCCAGTTCGGGTTCACACATTACGATAACGTATGATGGGACGACTCACCAATGGGCAAAGCGTCGTCCAGCACAGAGACCGCGATGGTTGCCTCCTCGTCGGACCAGTGATGAGCCTCCTTCAGCTCGTAAAGCCGGTTCGTCAACGCCTGGCCCCTCGTGTAGAGCTCCTTACGGGTAAGGAAAGGCCTGCGTTTGAAGTCAATCGAGTTGGTCGGTTGAAGTCCAACGAGCCAAATCGAACCGCTGCGTCTTGTCGAAAATCGGGTCCTGTTGCAGTATGTCGACGATGCGCGCGCGGGCTGTCCACTTTGCGGATCCACCTGGCCATGGGCAGCGTGATAAGTGAGTAGAAGATGAAAGTCAAGGTCATAGCACGCACCGTGTAGAAAGTCTCTCAAAGCCAGCACGTCCACCGTCGTGGCCGCGCGAGCGGCGTCCATGTCGACCCTGTTCTGCCGACTAGCATCGTGAGCTGGCATAGCCGTTCGAGATGTGAGTGTGGGAACAGTCATGGAGAAACTGGGGTATATGAATCCTCGGGAACGTCATTGCCGGTTTGGGGCTATATTTGACGTTTTCACGGGCAAGTCAATGACAAGGAAGAAGTTAAGGCCAGATTTGATACCAGGTCGAGGGCAGGTCGAGAAATGAGACACACGGGATGACAGCATCGAGGGAAGTTATTACATGGCAGGATGGATACATTTGAGATGTTTGGTATGAGATACAAGTTTGCAGATGAGTAAATAGGAAGCACATGGACGCCGAGAGGTCTTAAACCAAGACATGAGAGTGAGAGTCAACACATTTGATGAGAGGTTTCGATCGACAACGACTCCATTTTCAATCTTTCCAGATCTTCCCAAGAAGGGAGCCCATAGATTGCGGGAAGGCCATCCCAGAGTTTCTTTCTGGCCTCCCGGTGATACTCCTCCGCGTGCGATAGACAATACCCACAAACCTTGGTCTCGAACGGTGTCCAGTCCCGGTAGCTTCCCAATGGGTCAGAGATATTCCATGCCCCCACATCTTCCAGGTATAAGGTGCGGTATTCTGAGCATTCGTCCAGCGTGGAACAACCTTCCGTAAAAGGGATCCTTAGAAACGGGAGGACAGGCGGACAGGCCAGCCTTTGCTTGGTGTAGCTCACAATCGTTGTCTCCTGGTCGACGGCCGTGAGCAAAGGCCATTGCGGGGATTTGAGGATGTCGCGCATGTCCGAATAGCATAGGAAGTAGAAAGCACTCGGCAGAACCCATGTCGCACCGACTTCTGAAGCGCATCGTATCACCACCAGACTGTCATCGAGGCCGTCGCTACGGAATGTTTCCGATCCAGATACTTCGAACACATCGAGGGAGGTAGGGTAGCCCGTGTCGAGGTGCTGCAATGCGCGCCGACGAAGATATTGCACGTCGTATTTGTGGCTTAGACGCAGGATGCCCGTGATTGTTGCTAAGTCAGTCTTGCTGGGCGGAGGCTGGAAGAAACTCGAGGCTGATGAGAACACGCTTCAGAGCAGCGCGCGGAAGACACACCTCGAATCGAAGATGGCCCTCAGAAAGCAAGTCACATCCCGCGCACTGTCATGCAACTGGACGACGGGACATCCATCAATATGTTCCTCTCCCTCCGGAAATGACAGCATGTCCGCAAAAACCGACGAGCGTGCTGCAAGCAGGCCCTTTGATATTCGGTAGATCGAGTTTTCTGCGCGGAGGACGAGATTGTCGTCATCAAACCAAAGTTCCGGGATGCGCTCCAAAGGTTCGGGTAGTGATGATACTTCAAGGGCGTGTTGCATGGTGGGAGGGAGGATGAAGGTGGGTATCGTCAAACGGTGCTTGTCACATGCCAGTCACATGTCAACGCACGGGATGGCCATTATGCAAAGACTCTCCGGGTATCGAGAAATCGAATAACACTAGTCGCTCACCTTGATCCCGCGCAGAGAGCATTTACTTATTCACAGGAACTCCTCAATGTTTGAGATCTATCGGGACTTTCTGATGCGATAGCTTGTGTGGGCTCAAAGCTTCAGACCAGCGAGCGTGGTCCAAAATATGGGATATATAGAATGCATCGGACATCCTCTCGTAAAAGTACAGAGCCGCAGCACTACCATTTAAACCTTGTACCGTCGTCCGGTTTTGGTGAAGAATGTTTGTAGCACATAAACTTGGAAGCTGCCGATATGTGAGGATGCGCCGATGAAAGACAAGAGTGCACATACACAGCCATGGTGACAACGCCCAGACTCTCGAAGACAGCATACCAGAATAAACGACTATCCGCCGATGAGTTTCAGCACGTTTGGGAGGTAGAGACGAACACACTTTTGAATCGACTTCACGATTGAGAACCCACGGTTCTCTCGCGTGTGGAAGCTGCAGGCAAACAATTGAAGAGTTTACGGCGTGATAAACAAGATGAAAACGCACTGTTTCTGAGTTCGTTTGATGTTCATGAGCATGCCGTTGAGCCGGAACACACTCTCCTCCAACGCACTTGTCTGCTCTGAGATCTGACCGGGCTTCGCTGGTGCCTCTCTCCTTGGCTCGCTTTCCACCATAATGTCGAAGTCGATGAGCTTTTCAGTGAGCGTGGACATGTCATTTTCGAAACAGAAGGAATATTCGCCCTGAACGTTGCCGGTGAAGACGTAGTCTCCTTGACGCTCCCGCTTTCCTTGCAGCAAAAACTTGTCGTTGGGGTCTTTCACATCGAAGTCGATGTCAAACGAGCCTCCAGATTGCACCTAAATGATCGTGTGCGTGTATGAGACCAAAGCGTGCATTGGTCGATGAATTCAATTACAGCAAAGTAGAACTTAGTAACAGTCAGTGAGAACCCTCTGAATAGATGGCAAGTATACCCACGCCAATTTTCTCCCCAACTTTATCCACGTCAGCGTAGAAACACAACCGTTCGTTCGCCGCGATGGCCGTCGTCAAAGCGGAAGCACGAGCATGAAGAGAAAGGTCCAATGTGTAGAGAAAGCCAGCAAGGACGTGTAGAAGAATCATAAGTAGCACAGAGCTGCTGACACCAATGGAGGACGGGAGAAGGTCAATGTAAACATATACAATCGCCCCAAATGGGAAACTAACATCATGATGCGTCGTCTGCACCGTTCAACATTGTGTCCTACATGGTAGCTGGTACTTGGTCCAGATGCCGCCCTCATTCACACCAGACCTCCGCACCCTCAAATCTGCGTTATCCATTATCTCCAATCATACTTGAGCTCTTTCTGTTGTAAGGCCAGCCTCGGCACTGCAACATGCTCTCCTTCGATCAGCGACGGGACTGGGCCATATGGCACATATAGTCAGCATGCCCCCAACTCCCCAGTCTTTGCACGTTAATTCGCTGGGCTTTTCATGCTTGGCGGGGCTTGGCGCACCTCCCACTTTCTGCCTAATCTCGAAGAAACGCGCATCGTTTTCGCCAGTGAATCAATCTCACATGGATAACCCGTCCTTCTAGGCGCTATAGATTGTATGCTGATGCTCTGGGACAACGTGGGCTGAAGACTATCTCGCTCTGCACGCATGTGTTGCTTCGCATGCGTATCCTGCAGGAGACAGTACTTATATCCAAGGGCTAAGACTGCCTGTGCTTCAGCCGCTTTCCGCTTTCCGCTCGAGTCTCCATGGTCTCCTTCCCCAAGTGCTTTACTTCGATTGTGGCCCTCGCTGCGCTTGGGACACCGGCTCTTGGTGCTCTCCCGACCCCAGTGTCGGTTGCAATGGCAAAAAGCTACCTTGGACAGCTCAAGGTGGCTGTCGACAGCAACGTGCCAGCGTACGCGCGCAGTCAGTTCAAGTTGTGGGATACCAGTCTGTCTACATCCCGATGTATCTTCTTGCGCTATAACGGTAGACAGTTTCTGGCAACTGCAACACCCGTGAAAGTGAGTCCTCTGCCCATCTGATTGTTTGTCCCTCCCGCCGATGACTCTCAGCTGTGCTCATTCGGGATGGGACGAATGTTGTGACGAGCTCAGCTTGCGCAGCCACCTCTGGCAACTGGGTCAGTCCTTACGATGGTGTAGCTACAACCCTTGCCAGCGATCTGGACATTGTGGGTTGTCTTGCAGCAACTGTCTCCGATCCTGTCTGATGACTTTTCCAGGACCATCTTGTACCTCTGAAAGAGGTTGGGGATATTGTCGATGGCAAGAAACGACACACTCATTCATCGACAGGCTTGGGTCTCCGGGGCCCGTGACTGGACACCCGCCCAACGAGAAGCCTTTGCAAACGATCTCACGAGACCACAGTTGGTTGCAGGTGTGTGAATAGGCGAGCTTCCGTTCTGTGCTTATCTTACATGACACAGTTACCGATAACTTGAATCAAGCCAAGGGTTCGTAACGGAATATCTTCTTTTGAGGCTGACTGATTCGCTTTGACTACAGGAGACAAAGGTGTGTTGCCCGAGATCAACATCGGATGGAATGCTGATTGGAGGCAGATCCCGCGTCGTTTGTTCCTCCTCTTGCAAGTTATGTCTGCACTTATGTGCGCGCCTGGATCGAAGTGGTACGGAGATTTCATCAGCCTTTGCACCGGTTGATTCCGATGATTCAGAAACACTATTACAACCTGACCATCGACTCGACGGAAAGCACGGCATTGCACAGCTACATCAATGGCTGTTGAATGTCTGATTGTATCAATTTTATCCATCTCAAGGGAATGTGTCTATGTTGAAGCCCTTACGTTTCTGTGTTATCTACTATCGCATGGCCTAGAAACCATCCAGCACTCTCTGCTTCTCATGCCGTTTTAGGCTTCCATCAACATCGGTGCTGGACCGTGCCGGAGAGCAGCGTATGCACACATCAAACGTGTGACTCTAAAATCGGCAAGCTGATAACGCTTGGCAGAGCTTGGCGGCTTCCGACCTTCTCATCCCCGCAAGACGCTGAATGCGGGAACAACAGATTGCATATGGGTCAACTCTCAAAGCAACTTATCGCCGGCAGACCCAGTGTTGATATCTGCATCCACTCAACGTGGGTCGGGGGCACTATCTGACTGTTTTCATGCGGTCCGACTTGTGAGGTTATTTGCTGCGAGCACTATTTATACGCTTGCGTTGATTAGCGTCCAACGCTGGTCATTCTATCGATGGTCTCTTTCCCCAAGCATCTTACCGCAGTTGTTTTGCTCGCGGTGCTCGGCACCCCTGCTCTGGCCGCGCTCCCGACTCCGGTCTCGGTTGCCACAGCTAAAACGTATCTGAGCCAGCTCAAAGTGGCGGTGGACAGCAACTCGCCAGCATACGCTCGCACGGAATTCAAGACCTGGGACACGAGTCAGTCGGTTTTCTCTTTGGTTGTCCCCGCTGGCACTCATCTGTGGCGATAGTCTCCGGAAATTGCGACACGCGCGAAAGTGATTTGGGTTCAATTGGGAGGCGTATCTGGGACTGAAGGTCTCCCTCCAGCTGTTCTGATTCGGGATGGGACCAATGTCGTGACGAACTCCGCTTGTGCAGCTACTTCAGGCCACTGGGTCAGTCCGTACGACGGCGTTGCGACGACACTTGCAAGTGATCTGGACATCGTAAGCTCTGTCGATATTCCGGCTGGACTCAGGCTAACCGTCTATTGAGGATCATCTCGTTCCTTTGAAAGAGGTCAGACAGCCTCACTGCGCCTCAATGGAAGCGAGCTTAACGCTCAGTAGGCCTGGCTATCCGGGGCCCGTGACTGGACTGCAGCGCAGCGTGAATCTTACGCGAACGATCTCACTAGACCGCAGCTCGTCGCCAGTACGCATTCTGTGATATCACTGTTCTCGCCTGAAATGAATGCATAGTCACTGACAACCTCAATGAATCCAAGGGTCAGTCCTCTTCTCGTACATGGGACCACTCACTCAATTCTTTGTCTCCAGGTGATAGAGGTATGCCGTCTATCGATTTCACTGCATGTCCGATAGCTCATGCAGTGCAGACGTTGCATCGTTTGTCCCCCCTCTGGCTAGCTACGTCTGCACTTACATTCGGGCCTGGATCGAAGTGGTACGCTCCCTCCTTCTCGTCACCGCATCTCATCCAAGCTGATGGCGCAGAAACACTTTTACAACCTGACCATCGACTCTGCCGAGAGCACAGCCTTGCATAGTTACATCAACGGGTGCTAAAGAGAAATGTATTCAGTGTATCAGGTGTAAACATATCAATCGACCTCGTTAAGTAACACGTCGCGCGCGTCCAGTGACGAAACACAGGCCCAAACGGAACGTGACTGGCACGACGACTCGTGAGACCGGGACACCCCTTCCACAGAGGTCCTACTCCAGATGAATTTCTCACGCTTAGTCTGACATCTCAAGTCAACGTTTCGCACGTTGCATCCTTCAGACGGAAGGACACGTCAGGATTGATTGTGACTATCCACTTACGTAAACGTTAGTCACATGACAACAATTGTGGGCGGCCAAACAAGACACAAGCAAATTCCAATTGTCTCTGAACGCATTGTTACATCTCAATTGTTCGGTCAACTACTTAATGGCGGCAACCATGTCTGAACGCCCATTCTGGCACACTCTCTTCTTCGCTCATGCCCCGCCCACTTCCTAATGCCCCTTCTACCTCTGCCTCCGACGTGAAGTCGGCTTGGTCGGCGCCCTCTACTCCATTAACGTTTGTTGTGAACTTCTCGGTGCCGCCGTCTAGTCCACGTCTTCTGAAGGCCCGTCGCCGCGATTGCCATATATTTCCGCACTCTGCCTCCTCATCTACGACATCCTTGGAGTCCGTTTCGACTCGCAACGAGGGCATCCAGTCGGCAGAGTTCTGGATCTCTCCATCAGACCCACCGTCAGACGCTTCACCAGGCCATGTCACTCCTCAGACCAGGCCGAAGCCGTTGCGGCCTAAGCCTGCTGATATTATCATACCTCACAAATCTGCACCGCCGGCCATTCTGTCCCCGGAGACACCTGCTGCGTTGTCGACTGCGATCGAACATCATATGCGGTCACCGCTTTCTCCGTTGTCACCTTTCCTCCCTCAGTCTCCGGTCCAGTCGCCCAACGCTCGCATTCGGAAAATTGCCAAACTCAAGCGCACTTTGGGCGAGAACGTTCCAATCGAGCTGGTGTTCCCTGATCATCGCCAGGCTCAGACCCCAAGAAACGTGGAGGCGGCTATGGCGAACGGCGCGAAGCAACCCCGAAAGCGGCGTCTGGCCTTGTTTCGCAATCGCGAGCCAGCGCCTGCCTCGACTGAGGCGGAATGGCCTTTGACACCGACTCCTGACTGGGTTGTCGATGCTGAAGCTCACGCAAAGACGGCTGTTGGTCTTCATTATGCTCTCGGAATGGACTCGTTCCCCAGGCGCTCCGCGGCGCTGCCCCCCTCGACTGCGGAGGGTCCAGCATCGCCAGGGCCGTTCTCGGCCATGTTCAATATCGATGACGCTTCTTGGGAGCGCGCACGACAAGCTGTCATGGGTTCTCGGCGTCAGCAGAAGAAGAACCTTGCTGTACCCGTCCTGGACAAAGCACCGCCGCGCAGTGGTCTTGGAGTCTGGCGCAAGAAAGAAAACACCTGGAGTGGCGAATGGAATGTTGAGAATATGGAAGAGCTTCACGTTCGCTTGCGCCGGCTCAAGTGAACGGACGCTTTCGTCTAACGAACGAACGATACATATATGATTACAACGCTCAACGAAACTGCAATTGTTCTCCTTATCATTTCCTATCTGTAGCCCCCTAGTTTATATCTCTCCTTTAATGAACTGTAGTATACCCTTGTAGCACATCGTAGTCTTGAATCCATCAGCCGGAACTGTATCCATGTACTCGCAGTGCCGGAATCACGATCTGATCAACTTTTGTCTTCAACTTGAATTGTTCCCCAGCAATAAATGTCCCATTCCTCGTGTTTCTTGTTGGCAGACATCATGGAATTCACCATGCAAACAACGCCTCTTCACGTGGAACTATCCTTGTCGCAAGAAACCCGCGTCGTTGTCGGCCATTGTAGGCAAAAGCGCGGGCTTTGGTTCTCTCACAGCAGCATGCCTATTTTCTGCCCTCTACTCGATGCCCATGATGTACATGAACAGTTTCCTTGAGCCCTGCTCGGACAAGCCCGAAGATTGTGAGTCCATCGTTTTCTCGAACCCTCAGCGCTCAGTTTCATATAGCTTGGCAATCCAAGACACTGGCGATTGCGTCGACTTTGTCGTGTGCTTTTGGGACATCTCATGCTCGCACCGATCGCATTCGCCTTGCCAACGGATCAGTTTCGGTGTGCATAACTCCCATGGTCTCCAGAGATGTCTAGTCCTTGACCACCGGGCTCAAGAGTGTATAAGGCTTGGATCCCGACGACGATTCTTGCCGTCTGAGCGCCCTTCCCTCTTTACGCAATCCAGGCAACCCTGCCCATTTTCTTCTTGTAGCTCGTTTCCCATTTGTCGTCAGGCTCAACATGGCAACTGGTGTCAGGACATCACGCGCACAGATACCTGCGTTTCCAGTGGCTATAAAGCCAGCGCAATCACGCATCTCACGCACTTCATCCATGTCCTCACGCGCCGTGTCTGAATCCATCCTTTCATCGAGCAGACCACGTTCATCTTCACTCTTGACGGCCGGCCCGTTGAGCGCCCCATCACGCAGCCCATCGCCTAGCACAGCATTCCTGCAGGAAATCGATGTGTGGATGGATAACATGGTAGAGATGTTGAGGGCTCTGGAAGAACAGCACAGTTGGCTCCAAATTCAGTTGGGAAGGGAGGGCAGCACCCCGATGTTGACAACCAGACACAAAACCATCAATGGTCTGTTCTCTCTGTCAGTTTTTCTAATCGCCTGACCCATCACAGGTCTTCCCACTCGACCGGATTCACGTATCCTGAAATCGAGATGACGGATTTGTTGTATCTTGTATTTGCTGTGTACTATCTTGTAAGGATTTGTATAGACTGTCTCACATTGCTTCACACCATGAACCCTTCGACCATTGTCTTCGCTAAAGGTGTCGCCAACGTCGGAATCGGTCTGATTCTCTTTTGGAAACCGGTATTGTTGTATGAGTCGTCGGCAACGAAAGCACTGTCGGCGCTGACTGGTTTGGTAAGCTGACTGTGATCGTCTTACAATTCGCTCGACCAGCCCTCAGGGTATGACCAACTCGTCTATCGCGCCTGGCTTCAATCATTCGATTGCCTGTTTGGTTGCATCTGTCGGCCTGGGTAGTGTCGTCGCTGCTCGTTCAGGGCCTGCTGCTTTACCTGCCATTCGTGCGTCTCTTCATGTATGCACCTGGCCCATCAACTTCACGCAGATCCTCGCAGTGGCAATGACGTCGGCGTGCACTGTTCTCTCCCTCATCACGTGCGCTTTTGCCCCGGTCGCTTGGGGTGTGGGTAGTGCCACCCTCTTGCTCGGTGGCCTGGTGAACGCAATATTCAGTCTCGGATTGTATCTCGCCGAACCACGTTTACTGCGCTTTTGAGCGGATCTACTATGTATAAATACGGGTTTGGTATGAACTCTGTACTTACTTACCGTTTCGAATTTCACCTTGCTATCAACCTTCCTTACGAGTCAAGACGGAGTAATCCGGTCGCGTGAACACACATTCCATAAAACAGGGGATTCCGATCATGATTCTACTGCATGTCCGTCCCAAACATATCCGACAAATACATTAGCTGTGTACCGGGTTTGGTTTCCCCCACCGGTGATCATGCATGCCTCGTCATCTCGACAGATGTCGCCATCGGCCTCTGCACCGATAACCAGCTCTGATGCCATTGGAATAGCAATGCGCTCTTCGGTGGCAATCTGGGCAACAGTTTTCGGGCCTGATGTCGTCATCCCCTCAATCAGGCGTGTGGCGAATGCCATAGACGCGAATGCTGGAGTGTGCAGCACCCGCATACCAGAAGATAACGTGCGCAGGTGAATCGGTGGCTCTGTGAAGCGGGGCAGGAGCGGTGTCACTTGGAGCATAGTGGCAGGCGGGAGCAATGAAACTCCTCGGGCACGGTTCCATCCACCCCAGACCTCGTCGAGTGCTATCAAGCCTCGTTCACGCATCAAACCCGTAGAGTTTCGCGTCTTTCCCTGAAGGACGCCGGACAGCTCCTGAGCCAGTTGCTCCGTCCACCGCTCTTCATCTGTGATCATGTCCTGAGTCACGGGCGCATTAGTCATCTGCAGCCCTAGTTGCGACAACGACGACCGGATGAACGTCGCTTCTTCCGGCTCAACAGTGACGCCCGGATCCGCAGTGGAGGAAAGCGCAGTCAACTTCTCGTTGAGATCGGCGGCGAGATGCACCATCTCTCTGGTCCTGACTTTGAGGGCCTCGATGTCTTGGAAGGCAGCATCCATATTGATCACGCGATTTTGAGCAGAGTTCTCTGCTGCTTTCAGAATACCGCTGATTCCTTTGCGATTCGCTTCAGAGTCTACTGCACTTGGTGTGGCTGCCTGAGATAATGTATCACAAATATGTTCAGAGCGATCAAGGACATCGGCACGCACCATCAGCCAAGCTTTACCTTTCAATGACGTGCGTAATATTCCGTAGAAAACTTTGTCCCCGCCCTTCCTGAAACTGATCTTGATAAGCTGGGGTGAGGAATCGCCGGCATCGTCATCACTGAGATCGGGCGAAACAGGTCGGGATGACGGCGCAGACTTCGAAGTTCTTGGCCGAGGAAGCGGCGTCCCACATATCTCACAAGCTTGCAGTGAAGGATGATTAAGAAAAGTGCAAGCGCTGCATGCAATTTCAGAGGATTCATGCAAAGAGGGCATCGAGCTGCTCGAAGGAATGGCGTTGGAAAGTGGAGTTTGTTGAGCCGGGACCGAGTCGCGCGAGATGCCGCACAGCCCACATATCCGAGCGGCAGCAGGGCTCAAGCCTGGAGGATTGCGATATCCACAGACTTCGCACTCCCAACTTTCGAACACTGCTGAAGAATCTACGGCCACGGTCTCGGGCGATAGGGTCGGGCTCGTAATATACAGGGTGACTTTGGGTGAGGATTTGAACAAGCCCGCGTAGTGTTCTGTCCGGGTCACATAAGAAAGATCCATAACAAAAGAGCGACTCCTGCGGTGTTCAGAGGAAATGTAGAACAGTCTATGCGTCGATACGTATACAGTGCCAGATTGGTGATTCGGCGACTTCTGGTTTCTAGATGCGAGCTCCGATCGGCGAGGGCGGGGAACAAGAGAAGAAAGACAGACCCATCGTACACTCCAACGTTGTCCTGAGTTGCCAAAAGCACTTCGTCATCGTAGAGCAGCGCTTGAACAGGAATCGTGCCGTCAACTGGTTTAGTCCATCGACGTAGAGTCATGGCAGATATGGCGAGCGTGTATGATAAAAATAGGAGGCCAGTCAATTGTCCGTCGAAAGAGCTTAAGACCAGAGCGTAGGCACGGTGGACGTAGATAGTGGAGTCGAATCATTCCCTATTAGGGATGGATTAGAACAAGTATGAACGTTTGAACACTGATATTCAATAAACTGACACAAGAGCAAAGACAGCACTGATTTTATTGAATACACAACCTGGGTCTGTGAGCATATACATGTGATTAAAACTACAACGAAATGCGGATATATACACTGTAGACAGTCATAGCAAAGAATCGGCACCGAGTGGGATGCGTAAATAGTGGAAACCATGGATTGCTATCAGAAACGTGAGCAAGAATGAGGGTCGCCAGCAGCAGAGACAAACATTTGTGGAGGGGACGCGCCATCGAGCGTCATGTGTCTTGAAATATCAGAGAAGGATAACCGAGAGGGGATGATGGCCCGATGTCATGTCAGGGTTATCCGTATTTGCAGCTCTAGGCGCGTCGCATGGACGGCAGGCGGCCACCGGCCATCGGGTACGCTTGATTGGGCGCGGGGGAGGGCGAGCGAGGAAAGTGATCCAACGCCCATGCATATCAGCGCCGCGTCTGTCGCCGATGACAAGCTTCGCAAAAGCGGCCCTTCGGACTGGAATGCGTAGCATTTTTAGGTGGAGGAACGCTCCAGTCGAAATCGCCATCGTATTCGATATCCATGCGCTCGGCTAAACCACGGAACAAGGCGCGGAGGCCCTCGTAATCAGGTAGGTCATCAAACTCGAGGCCACGGGCATATCGGTACAGGACATCGAACTCGGGTGGCAGGCCGCATGTGAGTAATGGTTCGGCTGCCAATTTCGCGTCGCGAATGAGATCCCAAGTTACAGACACTGGGTTGTAGGGATTGGATGGCGACACAACCTGAGAAGAAGGAGGGGCTGCTGGCGCTCGCAATTTCCGCCAGGGCAAACTTCCTCGTAGAAAGTAGATGAGCATGTAGGCAAGCGACTCAAGGTCATCGCGTCGTGACGATTCTGGTGCCGATTGTCAGAACGCGAGCAACTAGACATCAGTCAGATTGACGAACCAGCACCGAGATGTGTGTTGATCGCCGCAAAGAGCGAAGTTCCAACACCGTGATAATCGTCCTGCTTGAAGGGGATGTGCAGTAAAGTCCGAGGGTCCCGGAATTTTTTGGCCAGCCCGAAATCGATCACATTGACCATGCTAGCTGCTTTTGCAGTCCCCATAACAAAGTTTGCAGGCTTCACATCACGGTGAACAAAACCATGGGTATGTATGAATTCGATTCGCGAGATCTGCGATGATGTCAGCGACACGGGGTGGTCAATGACTACCACCGCATGCTTACCAGCTGGTCCGTGAGGAGTAGGACTGTCTTGAGTGAGAAATGGCGGTTGCACATCTTGAAGAGGTCCTCTAATGATGGTCCAAGGAGGTCAATGACCATGACGTTGTAGTCTCCTTGTCGGCCAGACCACATTATCCACGGAACACCAGTACCGCCCATAAGAGTCTTATATATCTTCGATTCTTGCTTCAGCGGACTATGCTTGGCGACTGCAGGTTCTAGCTTGATTGCGACCTCCTTGCCGGCAACGGTGTGAATGCCCATGAAGACCTGGCCTGGAAAGGATGGATGCATTAGTCAGTGACAAGGTATGAGCTGGGTCAACGTAGAGCGTACCACATCCGCCGACTGCAATTTCTTCGGCTAGCCGGTATTTGCCACCGAAAAAGTCCATAATGGTGGGAGGGGAAGAAACGGGGTGTTTGTTTGGGACATAATAAACACAACAAACGCGTCGCGGTGGCTGACTAATGCTATCACCACAACTCTTCCATAAACTCGAACCTGGGCCTTGGGCCCTGATTGTGTTGCACATGAAAAACACGTTTTTGAAGCAGTTTCTCCGACTTTCCAGAATTTTCAAGTGATCCCTCGCTGCCAACTGCAAGTGCAGAGGTCCGTTTCAGTCCACTGCAAAGAACTGAACCTCTGCCCGATCCTGGACTGTTCGTATAGCCGGTACCAATTTCACTAATACTCTATTCTAAGCTCGGCGATCGGCTGTTCGGGCCCTCGAGCTCAAGTGACGCTGGGAGTCGAGTGGGTAGTGCGATTCTTGCCGTGTAAGCGGTCGCTATCTCCCAGTTTGGACAACTTCGGTATCCATACACTTCTCAAGCTCAACAATGGTCTTGCTCAAACGTTCCATTACTCCTCGAGGAGCTCGCGCGCTGCTTTGATAAAAACCTCGTTTCTTTGCACTTGAACCGAGTGGTTGGCACCCGGGACCATCACCAAACTTTAGTTGGGAATGAGATCCGCAATGACCTTTGACTGCGCTGCAAAGAGCATCCAGCTGCAAAGTCTTCAGACACTGGCATACACGCACAGGGCGGACAGATTCGATCTTCCTCTCCAACTATGAACAGTGTCTTGGCGGAAATAGTCGCAAGCTTGTCCCGATATTCGAAGTATTTCTCTGCTTTGGAGTAGAGTGCATCTAGACATGCTGTGTGCAGTGACTGCCCAACGCGCGAGGAAGGAGCGCCTATTGTGAACTTCTGTGTTGTAAATTCCGACCCGGGCTGCTTTCAGTGCAACGTCTGCGTTGAACTTTCTGCTTTCTGCGTACAGTGGACCCAGTGCAAACATGACCAGTCGAAACTCAAGATCGTCCTGGAAGACCGAAAAGACCTTGTCCAGCATAGCGATCAAGGTTGTGGGGGCACGGGGAAGTCGTGCCTGCATTCCATCGATCGTCATGTACATTTGATGTGCCGGTCAGCAAGAATGATTCACCGAAGCCACGCCCGCCATGCAGCAGGATAATTAGGAGCCTGTCGGGTGGACCAGAAAGCTTGTATTCAAATTCTGCGCCATTGAGGGTTATCTGTGGCATGATGGACAGAGATAGACAGAGAGGTCATAAAGTTCCACTATCATCGTTCGTTCTTGCGGCTAGATAAGATTATTCGAATCAGATAACGGAAGAAGGCTGTGCACATCTGCTGCAGTCAGGACTAAGTAACAATCAGCTCCGAGTCTGACCGCAACCATGGCCACGGACGGTCAAATAACAACCCACGGATTTCCTCCAGGCTACTTTGTCATTCGTTCCGAGGCGAATCACCGCCTTCTTGACGTGGGCGGTCACAGCAACGCGGACGGGGCACCCATCCTGCTCTGGCCAGAGAAAGAGAAATTTCTCGTTGAAAATCGGAGGCGCCCAGAGGCAGACAACCAGGTGGGCATCTGTGATTATCTCGGAACCAGTTCCATGAAGTCTAGGCGTAGGTCTTCTTCATTGACACGAGCGGGGCATTGTGTTCCAGAGCTTCTGGGCATGCCGTGGATATCGAGGGTCTGCGTCCCTTTCTCGCTACATGATCGCATTATCTTTACTATATCACAGGTGATCAATTGGTACTTCGTCACCGCCGACCTGTTACCTATCCATATCCGAATCATTACTCGCACCCCCTCCCTCGCTTCTCTTACACACCATCGACGGGCGAAATCACCCTCCAGTTCACGCATGATCCCTCTGTGTCAGCGCCAGCGCACACGCCAACCTCCGACTGGAGACGAAAGACGTACATACTAACAAGCTTACCGCTTCGCAAGCCACGCACGATCTTGGATGACGCGCACGCGTTTATCGCGTCGACGATCACTAGTCCCATTTCGTCGCTATTTTCTGGGGGGCAGGGCGCGAGCCCAGAAGTCAGGCCGGAGGATGTTTATGGGACGGATATCGATCTGGGGGACAACGAAATCGTGGAGGAAGAGCGAGGGGAGGAGGCCGAGACCGACGATGCAGCAGAGTTGGGCCGGGAGGTGAGGGTTTTGGGCATCATCAATAAGGAACGCGAGGAGAAAGAGATCGTGGAGCAAGCGAGGTCTCGTCGAAGGTGGCAGATATCGGTCATCAAGCAGATAGATGCTCGCACAGGCGGAATTTAAGCACAAATATCACGTGATACGTAGTCGGAAATCGTACTCAATATTGCACTTGTAAGTATGGTAGGAACCAACGCGACTGCAGATTTATAAGGTGGCTGCTTTCTTCGCAGTCAGCTGTCTTTTAGGGGGCGGACTGTCCAGCAACATCATGGATAGAAAATCGTGCACCAGATCCGCAGCTGCGATTGCAGTAACTTCAGCGAAATCGTACGCAGGCGAGACTTCAACCAGATCAGCTCCACTTCGTTTTGGTCAGCTTTGATGCTGAGATGAAATGCGGCCATCACACGCACACAAAGTTAAGCCCTGCGAGACCACGGAGGATGCGCTTGACTTCGCGGGTCGTCCAACCCCCCGCTTCAGGCGTCCCAGCTGGAAATCGATTAGCAGAGGGGCAAATTGGACGACTCCATCTCTCACTTCCTGGAGCGATGCCAGGGTCTGACCAGTATTGAGTCGAAATGTAAGCGAAAAACGCAAGGGCGTACCAATGACGTCAATGTCCAAGCTGTGCAACCAGTCTCAGTGGACTGAGACTCGGACTCAGTGGACCACTGACCTGAGATAGACTGGAGAGTTGCCGACACGATTTCGGATGGTCTCTATTATGGCTGGAATGCCTACGTCGTCGATGTCGTCGGTCGATATGAGCTGGAAGCCCACTTGCTCATCATTTGCCAGATCTTCCTCGCCCTGAGGTCTCATCGGCTTGGCTTGTCGAGTATGCGTCAGCACTTACAGCAAGCTTGCACCGTATCCCAGCATGCACACTCGTATTGGTGATTAGGCCCTCCTCCTGTGCGAGATAGAAAAATGTGCCGTGTGTGACCTTGGACTGTTCTGTTATCGCCCCGGCGTAGCTCGGCCTGTGGGTATATGTACGCGAACCGTGATGTGTGCACTTGGTTGAGGAGGCATACCAGGTGTCCTAGAAAGTGGGTTAGAACCGACTGCGATGGGATTGGAAACACAAACCAGGTGAGCGTCGAAATGGATCACGCTGATCGGTCCGTGAATTTTGTGCAGTGCACGAAGAATCGGAAGAACCTTGCGGGTCGTCTCAGTGTTCGTTCGCCGTATAAACACCGAAATGGACTCGCGATAGTATGATCACCGCCAAGGCTGCGGCTCCATCGTTTGAAAAAGGACTTGAGTGGGAAGTAGAGCAGCCCACCTGACAAGCCGAGGGTGAGTCAAATTCTGCGCATATGTCGGACGCGCAAGAAGGCTCGCGTACGCGACCTCCATCTGATCAAGGGCCAGCGCATTATCGAATGGAACAATTGGGACGTCACCGCAGTCCACTATTTTGGCGTCTAAAATGGTGAGGAAGGCAAAAGATAGTCATCGAGTAGAATATTCACCTCTGTAAGGATTATTTTGCCAAGTCATAGTGTATCCCCGTGCTTCCCTCTGCCTCCGACTCCCAGAACGGATTGCGTACGGCCCGAATCGCGCTCTGACATATGAATAATTTGATGAAACTCTTCAGGAACGGACACACACCCGGGACGATATGACACACCAGTGTCGAACGGCATTCCGAGGAGTGCAATGTCGAATCGTTCGGCTTCATCCTCAAGGCAACGCGTATATGGAAGATGAGCAAAAGCTAAGGGACCGGAGAATGGCTGGTCGATCTGGTTGCCGTATTTCTCCAGCCAAGTTTGGGATGGCTCAGTATTCAATGGGTGTTGATGAGAATGGGATTCAGAGAGTGGGAAAACCGCAAACAGAAGGGATAAGAGGGTGAAAGCGTGGACCATCGTAGTAGTGCGAGAGGAAAGAACTCTACAGTAATAGGTGCTTATTGATAGATTTTTGCTATAGATAAGATAGAGGTTTGAAAAATGCGATAACGTTGCAAATGCCATTTGAGCAGTAAGTACAAGATAATACAGTGATTTCAAGGTGGATCGAGTTGCTCAAACGGCATGGCCAGTATCTGCATCAACGAGCACGCGATAAACAGCATCGTTCTCAAAATAATCCTTTTCGCCTGGGAGAGCACTGCCATTGTGACATCCAACAGCATGTTTCCACCAAAATAGTTCAGGAACCTAACAACGTAAGCCCCATGTCTACGAATTTTTATGTAAGCTATGCTGCTGACCTTGACTGGTATATCCTTTATTGTTTGTACAACGATCCATTTGTTGCATTTATGACACTTTGCTTCCTGTATGGATGAACGTTCGCCCTTTTTGTGATTCGGACGGCCGACAAGACGAAAATTCGTTGGCGGAGAAAGGGGTCTTCCCGTTGCTGCTGAGATGCCGTGATAGTACTGCATATGATAGCTGCTAGTTTCAGTGTTTGTCCGAAATGGTAGACACGAGGAGACACACTTGAAGGCGGAGACTTTCATGGGCAGCCATACTTTCTTTCCTTCCCCACCACGTTCGCGGCGCTCCACGCAAATCGGGCAAAGCCCCACCTTGCTTGCGCCGCGACCCTTGACGAATCGAGGACTATAAAGATCCAGTGCACTTCGAGGGGGATTGTATTCACCGCCTGGGTTGGAGAAAATAAACACATCTCTGCGTAGATCATCAAATAAGCATGAACTTGATATGGATAAGAAAACCACAGACTGAAAGTACGAGCTGGCAGGGAATCGACGATAGAACAGTGGATAGTCTTGAGACACCACGAAAGGCGGACAAGGAAGCGTTCTTGTGCTATAAGCAGGTAGAGATGGATTGACTTTTGCACGCTTAGCGGTCGGTGAATCACAGTCAGAATCGTTGATGATGAAGCGTTTGTTGGATTGACGGCCGAGATTCTTAGTCGGCGAAGGTGTTAACGGCGTTAGGGGCGTCAGTGCGTTTGTCTGCGATCGTGTTATGCGCTGAGGGGGCGTGGAGTACGAGCATTTATAGTTGAAAGCAAAATCAGACAGTGTCTTGGAGCTGGTTTCCAGTTTGCAAGGGGAGAGCAATGTTGAACCCGTAGATATATGCGCGGCCATCGCAGAGCAGGGTGCTTGATCAAACAAAGAGAATTTGGGAAGAGTAACAGCCGGACGAGCACGAAGAACCGGAGAAATGTACGATGAGGCTGATTCGTGAATGGGGTGGTCGTAGCTCCGGACAGGTGTCCATTGCGGGAAAGAAAAATCTGTGACCGATGTAGGGAACGACGCAGAGGAAATTGACGACACGAATGGGAAAGGTGGACTGAGTGCAGGCAAAGAAGATTTCAGATTGGGTGGCGTCAAGCATGGAGGAGAGCCTGTGCAGTGAAAGTGCGCTGTTGCACAGGGCTGGATCCTTGATGGGCGATGGTGTAATATGTCGAGATTCAAATCGAGATCGTCCTCGACGTAAGTAGTGGGCTTGGCCCAGTAGGTTGGCCTGAGGATTTGAATTAAACGTCAGCTGGAGGTCAAGGGAGGTCAGACGTACTGGAAGTAATCCATGGACCTCAAGAGAAGTGAAAGAGACGCGTTGTTGTGGCTGATTTGGTCATCTAATCTGTGTTGTATTCCATCCAACGCTAATTTCCCAGTCGCCTGGGAGTCCCTCTGCATACTCCTCCTGATGGCCAAGCCCGACGTGGACACCCCGATCCGGATTACCGTAACTCCCTCTCAGTCTTCGTACTTTGCCGGGGAAGCCTTTGCTGTCACGATTACATACACGAATACACACATAGCGGATACACATACACCCGTCCTTACATCGAGGGCTCGAGCACACACACAAGTCCACAAGAGGAATGCCTACTCGATCAGCTCTGCACCGTTGGCACGACCGCCCACGTCGCCAGGGACACCGCGTCCCAGTGCGCATCCGACGACACCGACGACGCCGCGAGGAAAGCAGTTAACACCATTGCCAACGAGTGAAGAAGGAGATGGGCGGCCAAGGAGGCGAGGTGTCATTGGGCGTACTACACCGGAGGAACAGAGGATACCCGGGCTTGTGGAGCAGAGGAGGAAGAAGATGCTAGCAAAGAGTTTGTCTGTTAGCATTTCGCTCTCGGAGAGGCCAAATCGTGATTTGGACTCTGGGCCGCATTCCCCACCGGGTGCCATATCGGAAGTTGTCTGTACGTTGCTATTCTGCACTAAGCTGACTGACTAAATCTGTACAGCTCCCATCTCTCGCCGTTCAGACACTCTGCCACTGGCTGCATCGCACCCGCATGCTCGTAAGGTGTCGTTACTGGATGGCCAACAGATCATAACGACAACAAGAGTCTCTAATTCACCTGTCAGCGCCCCTGCGTCGGCCTCGAGCTCCACGTTCTCGCTAGCACTCGAGCCGATATCGGAGTTTGATTCTGCAGAGTCTCCTGTACGGAAACGAGCGTCACTGGGCAAGGGACATCCTTCATCTCCAGCGAGGAAAAGTCAGGCTGAAGTGCTGTACACGTATGCCTCCCTCGCAGGTCGGGTAGTAATTGGGCAGGGCGGACCCATGACATCAGGTTTAGTCGCTCTGCGAGCGGCCCTGGCTCCGCCTATGCGAGGCGGAGGCAGCCTAAGTACACAGGCAGCATCAGCAGCGGGACTCAGCGGCGCTACCCAGACAAGACATCGCAGATCGAATTCGTTGATGCGAGCGATCTGGGGTGCTGAAGATGAGGGCGACACCCCTTTACCGACGCTGGATATCCGGCCCGAAATGCTGGCGGTTGATCTCAAGCTAGGACCAGGCGAGTCGAGGAGCTGTGAGTTGCTGTTCGATGGAGCAGACAGATGTTGACCGCAGGCCGCAGACAAATACACCATCAATCTTCCGGAGAATATGCCGCCTACTTTCAAGGGTAGGACAGTGAGGTTCTCTTACGAGTTGGTTGTCGGTGTGTGCCGTCCGGGCAATGTTTCAAGGGTGATGAAGGTGCCTATACGCGTTTATAATCATGTCCGCGGTAAGACTGACACGTTCGCTCTTCCATCGCTTAACACATTCAGTGGGGCGCCGACCGAAGCCGTACGATTTGATGTGGCCTGTATCAGCCTCTCAGCCCAAGCCGTCTGTACATGGCCCTGATCAAAATACTCCGGAGCAGAAGGAACATGGCAATAAAGCAGACCTGCAGAGATACGCGCAAAAGCTCCTCACGGCCACACTTCCATCTGAAGACTCTGGGCCTCAGATGGGATGCCGACAGGCTGTCGAGGAACTGACACGCAATCTGCGAAAGGTTTCCTATGACATAACGAAGGACGGGGTCACTGTCGCTGTTTTGACATTCCCGAAGAGTGCATATCGGTTGGGCGAGACAGTGAATGGTGTGGTAGAGATTAACTGGAGAAACGGGCGTGGGCGAGTCCTTCAGGTTGTCTCCGTTCCTGCAATGATACACCCGCTGACGAATGCCGCACAGCTGACTGCCCTGCTCGAAGCGCACGAATCCTTCCCCGAACTTGCGACGACGCGACGGGTCCATGCTGAACATCACGCCCGATTCGTGTTGGGGACTTTGAGATTGGGATTTGCCCTGGACATCCCCAGCGACGGAAGTCCCGCGTTTGATATCGTCTGGGATCGCAAAGCAGGGGGCCTCGAATGGAAGGTGCGGCTGTGCCTGCTTGTGGCTGTGTCCTCTGAGCAGAGTGATCTTGGCACGGAAGGCATGCGAGTCACTGCGCTTGAGCGAGAGCCCGACCACAATTCCGGAGCATGGGGCTCTTCGTGGCGAGCCCCAGACAAGATGGCTGTGCTGCAGCGCTTGCCGCCCGAATCAGAAAAAATTCCCACGGCAACCAGTTGGGCGGCATTCCTGACTGCGAGTCTGCTGGGTTCTGGCGAGGGAAGATATCATGACGGCGACCAGGATGGCGACGAACGTGATGGTCCGTACGATGGCGTAAAGCCGAATCCGGCCGGCGGCGTCGGTGTTGGTGTCCGTTATGCTGGTAGTGAGATCGGCTGGTCGGAGGTCAAGGCGGAGATGGTTGAGTGTGTTGTGCCCGTCAGTGTATGGCCTGGAAATACTGCCTTTAGGCCGGCAGATGTCGTCTTTGATGTTTAGCACGTGACGTGTCATGTACAAGATCACGTTACCGTGTTTCCCAAGTATTTCAACTTCAAGCTTCGAGCGTCAACCTTCAACGTGCACTTGCGTAGGAAAGATCATCATCCATCACATTGGCCTGAATGTTGTATCATGATCCCTGAAGAACGGGCGGCGCCACGTAACTCATTTTGTTTCGTTAGCGAACAAATCACCAATCCGCCATTCAAGTTGTGCCCGCTGGCCATCCGTGGGATCCACCCAAGCGACTAGAAAGTCTCAAGTAAGCTGCTGCTCAGTAGCCTCCAAAGGCCAGCAAATCACAGACATCCAACGGGACTCGAGACAGATTTGAAGTATCAGAATCTGACAGCGTCAGGCACAGCTGTCATGCCTAGAATACGTAACCGTCGAGTGCAAAGCGCGCGTTGATGCCTTACCAAAACTCCAGACTTGAATGGTCTGATGTAGCACCGATACCTACCGATACTTTCAAAGAGATATTCCTCCAGGTGACAACAGAATATGTTTCGACATCTTCATTTCGGCTGCGAGTGAGATTGCGATTGGCAGAGAGGATTGATTCGAGTCCCAAGGGGTTTTGGATCCCGACAAGAGTTTGATGGTATCCTTGTTGGGACATGAGATGTAACACGACCTCCTTTCGCTGGTCTACCAGTCACCGCTCGGTTGCATTGGTGTCGTAGGGCTTCTTTCCGTTCTTTTCATTCCTCCCCTTTCTCGCCAGAGCCGGTATCTCTTATGTCTTCCAAGGTCCGCCGTACTTCTCGGGCTTCTGTCCGCCTGAGAAACTCTTTTACCTATCCTCGGATACAGAGCGCTAGTCGCAAACAGTCAGGGCCCGGTGCCGTTTCCATTGAACTTTTGTCTTTCGGCACGGCTTTGGACTTTTCACCCTCACTTCGGCGCATACGAACCACCATGCAGTCTTGCCACATCTCCACGCTTTTGACGATCTTGCTCTTCGTTTGTCTTTTGACCCCATGTCGCGCAGAGGATGCCAACAAGGTGTTTGCATGGGGTTTTGGTGGGCCGGTACGTCGTGGTTTGGATTTTTCTGTCAGCTTGTCCTGACGGAGGTTGAGGATCTGTCCACCGAGCTACCGAGTTGTCGTTCTATCCCGATCAATATCCTGCGCAATGTGCACATCAATACTTCGGAAACGAGTCTAGGCATCCCGCCGTATTTCATGGGTGTTTTCGCTATCGGTGGCACCCCCAGCGTCACTCCAATCGGCAGCAATGCTTCGAGTTTGTCATGGACCGTAGATCAGCCTATCGGCACGAAGCTCTTGCTGACTGTCTTTGACGGGACTGGGAGCTCAGGAGGCGTCCCCCCGCTATTGTATGAAGTGGTTGGTGAGTTGTTCTTGCCTTTACTTGCAGACGTGCCTGCTGAAATTGAGGCGATAGCAGGATCGACGACACAGTGCAGCACGCCTGCATCTACGGAGCCTGCATTTACTGTGACCGCAAACGTCACCGATTCTTTAGCGACTTGTGCGCCGTGGGGCTTGACGATTGTTGGTGGGCAGCCACCATACAATATCACAATCGCCGCGCTCAACTCCCCCGTAATCACCAATGTAACTATGGGTAAGCTCCGATTCTCTCTTGCTGTCAACGATTCCTAACCCTCGCAAGGGCCGAACTTCGACCAATTCACGTATATCAATCGGGCGGAGCCTGCGTCGAAACTCATCGGTAAGTTTCACATCTTAGCCAACCTTGGTCCAGACCCATTAACCGGCCCCTGTGCTTAGCCGCTGTGAGCGATGTGTATGTTTGCTGAGTATGCTTATCTGCTACATGCTCATATGTTTGAGCAGCAATGGCCGTTGGGCTACAGGGACACCGATCGTGACGACTGTTGGGTCAACAAACGCTGACTGCCCTGGTTTGAACAGTGTTCCTGGTCACGCTGCGGCCATTCAAGCGCAGCAAAAGGCTGCTTTGAACGTAGCCAGGACCCAACAGCACACACTTGTAGTCGCAGGTGTGGTTACTACGCTTTTGGTGTTACTTGCGCTTGGCGCAATTGCAGCCTTCCTGTTTTGGCGCCGGCGAAAGTTCATGCTGACTGCACAAGCAAGAGCTCCGACAAGATTTGAAGCTGGAAGCGCCTCTCAAAATCCATTTGAAGAAACGGGCTCACACATTCTTTCGATCACCTCGTTCATCAATAGCTCGTCCAGTGCACCGCATTCGCCAGATGGATTGAGCACTATCTCGCCCTCGCGTCTCAGTGTCATAACTCCGGCTTCACTCGACAGGCGGCAGCTTGTCAATGATACTGAATCGGTACATTCGGCCGACTCTGGGACGGGCTCTGGTCTCCCCACCCGAAGTCCTGGAAGGCCTGCTCTGAACGGATTTCCGACAGCGTCGGTCCGGCGCTCTGCCAAGGAAATCGAGGCAGGCCTTCCCACGAGCATCTCGATGGACTCCGAGTATTACACTAGGCCCGAACATACCATACCTGCAATCGGACGCAGTCAATCCGCAGCAGTCACGACGGGTGGCGTCAGGGCCGTTGAGAGGACCGTCCGTCTACCCACTCGCTCGGTTTCCCTTGGCGGTCCCGAAATCATCATCCAGCATGAAGATGCTGGTACAGTGCGGGAATTACCTCCTCCTTACGCTGATCGACATTAGTATATACAGTGACCGGTTGGCCCATCGTCTTTCTTTTTTGTGATTATGAGAGTCATCTTGCGCTTGATTTCTTCTGATACCTTATCTTTTATTATTCTGCACTGTGTATGTATGCCTTGTGTACGACTCGCATCGCCATGAAAAGTGGTAGAGGAGATCAATACCGTATTTGACTCTGCTTGACAACTGTACTAGACCACACAAAGAGCCACACACACAGATTTTCGCATCCATTCACGATGGCGCCGTTCTCAAAGCCGGAAGCCGTTCTCAAGCAGGCCGAGGGCCTTGTTGCTGTCGGCCAGACGCATGCCGCCATACAGTCTCTCACTGAACTCTTCGGTTCTAAACGCTTTCGATCCACACCGTTGGCATCGCTAGAGCCCATCATGCTTCGATTCATCGAACTCTGCGTTGAGACTCGCAAAGGGAGGACGGCCAAGGAGGGGCTGATGCAATATAAGAATATCGCCCAGAATACAAGCGTAGGGAGCATCGAAGTTGTCGTCATGCGATTCGTCTCTTTGGCAGACCAAAAAGTGCGAGATGCACAGGAACGCGCTCGAGCACACGAGGAGGAGAGGGAGAAAGCAGCGGGTGCCGTGGATGTGGATGTGGATGATCTGGAGGCGAGTGAGACGCCGGAGAGCATCTTGCTGGGCGCTGTCAGCGGTGACCAGAGCAAAGATCGCACGGATCGTGCTTTGGTGACACCCTGGCTCAAGTTCCTTTGGGAGAGTTACCGAACCTCGCTGGAGACCCTCAAGAACAACGCACGGCTGGAGGCTATCTACCAGGTCTGTCCTGAGCTAAACTTTCGTTCCGATGGCTCATCCGGTATCAAATCAGTCGATCGCGCAACAAGCGCTTACTTTCTGCCTAAACTACAAGCGACCGCTGGAGTTCCGTCGTCTTTGCGATACCCTCCGTCTGCATCTGTCCCATACCGCCAAATATGCGCATCAGCCCATGCCATCAACTTGGCGGACCCGGAGACCCTTCAACATCATCTGGATACCCGTTTCCGTCAGTTGACAGTATCCTCTCAGTTGGAGTTATGGGCCGAGGCGTTTCGAGCGGCAGAGGACATTCACCATCTTCTGACGTTGGGAGGAGGCGCTGGCGGTGCGGCGGGCAGAAAGCAGGTGCTAAAACCTGGTGTTCTGGCGGCCTACTACGAGCAGCTTTCACGCGTGTTTCTCGTAAGCGGTAATGCCCTTTACCATGCTGCTGCGTGGGGCCGATTGCACTCCGTCACAATCACCGCGCCTTCTGCGACGGAGGGATTCAAGATGGACGAGCCACGTCTTGCTGGTCTCGTGCTCATCAGTGCGTTGGCTGTGCCTGTTTCAGCTGGTGTGTTCTGGTTCAAGTTGTTCGTTCGCATATCCTGATCCTCTGCAGCTACCACTTCGATTTCCGACGAACGTCTTCCCGCGTTGTTGTCCTTGCCCAATCCGCCGTCGCGTGCAAGCCTGTTAAAGGATGCACTTTCCCGCGGTGCACTCAAGAACGCACCTAGTATTGTCCGTCAATTGTACGCCGTTTTAGAGGGT